ACAATGTTTTTCAAGGGAATGTGTGTTTGAACAGTGTCTTTCAGGAATTAATGCACTTGTTTTTGTTGTTTAGCCCAGTGTAGTAAATGATGAGTAAAATGTTCTCCAATAATATTCTTGGAGATTTTCTTTGCAGACCACATTGTATTTTTGTTTTTTGCCCAGGGTAAGTAGTCTTTGTGCTGATTACTCACATTTACCTTGCTGCTGAACTATTTGCAGGGTACCTTACTATCAGCAAAAAGGAACTGGTGAACATGTATGTTATTGAAGATACAATGCAACCATGCAAGTTAATTCATTCCAGATATTCTTTGAGCATCTATTATAGACAAAACCTTTATACTCATTGAACAATATATAGAAGGACTCTGGCCCACTTAAGCTTAAACTTCATTAGTTCTCATTTATGTCATAGTTTTACTGTCTCTTACTTACTTCACTCTCTAGTTCATTATAGACATCATAAGATCAATGAAATATTAATGATACTTTCTACTTATTCTATCTAGTGCCTTTTCAGTTCCTTTAAAAATGCATGAGCAGTAACAATTAATTATATTTTATATGTATACATATTTTATAGTAATTATATTTTGCTTTATTTAAAGGATGAGAACTTTGATAACTTTTCATAACATAAATAACATTTTATAGGCATATATAATATTATTTTATGATGTAACCTTATCAGTTTTTATAAAAGTGACTATATCATTAAAGTTGTCTTCTGCTATCTGTTATGTTAGATATTGTAAGTATTCCCCTTCAAGAAAGTAGGCATCATTTCCATTGAATGAGTACAGTTCATTTTCTCAACCAGTTTATTTTATTAAATTGTAGAATCCGAAGCTAATACAATATTAAGGTTGCAAGTATTAACCGTCATTACTCAAGAATGTGAAAAGTTAGGGTTTTCATAACAGCATTAATTTCCCTACATTTCTTATGCCTTATAATAAAATGTACATTTAGAACACTAACCAGCAATCCAGGAATTATATATAATCAGTGTTGGACAAGTTAATGTTACTAAGAGGATCTTAACTTTCATATTCTCTGATTTGTTTTTAAATTTGCAGCTTTAACAGTGCACTAATGGAAAGATTTTGCATTTAATTTTCTGATTTTTATGAAGCAGACAAGAACAGATAATAAAGATGGAAAAGTTGATAATCATTATTTCAGTATGATGACTATTTCAGTAGCAAATTTAGAGGAAACCTTGTGCATTTTTAATCAGTGTGTTTGATTTCAGAATGTTTATGCTTACAGCACATTCATGTTATTTCTGTCTGAGCCCCATAATCAATTTCAACCTCAGGACAAATTCCTGTTCTCTATCATGATAGCCTGTAACTAAACACCTCTTAACATCTACTCCACGTAAAATCAATTGCCAAGTCCTACACTGTGGTTTTAGTCATACTACTGTTTTGACAAATACTGATGTAAATATATATATACAGGAACACTAGATGTATTTACACATGAAGTTACTTATAAACTACAGAACCAAAACGAGTCCAAACAAAAATCTATCTTAAACTGGCATATATCTATTGAATATTTGTTGTAAAAAATTAAAGTATAGTCATTGGAATATAAATGCCTTTTTATTATTTACAGAGAGAAATGACTTTAATTATATGGTATAAGGATATTGTAGATGATTACCCATATTAAATATGCAAATTATTTCATTAGAGAAGCCACCAGGTTTTTTGTTATTCGTGTTTTTGTTTTGTACCAGGGATTGAACTAGGGGTGCTTTACCTTTTTAAGTTTCTTTGTTTTGAGATAGGGTCTCACTAAGTTGCTGAGGGACTAGCTAAATTGCTGAGGCTGGCCTTGAATTTCCTGTCCTCCTATCTCAGCCTCCTAGGTTGCTGGGATTACAGGTATGAATCATGTACTTGGACAGTTAGAGTTTTTATATGCACTATTATATGTTATATAAGCTTTATTTATATTGATTATAATAGATTACAATGATAATTTATGTTGCATAATATACAAAGTTATATCAATTTATATGTATCTCTTAAAAATTTACACATTAGCTTAAATTCACTTATACCCAGAATCCAAGTGTTATGCACTCACACAAAAGAAATGCATCCACATTTATGATCACGGCCTTTCAGTCCCCAAGAGTGTTGACAACAAACACAAGGTACACAGTGAAGAGGCCTGCAGTAAAATTGGCACAGAGACTTAATAGTCAGTGGTCAAGTATTTGGGTTTAGTGTTCTGGACTGCATATAATTTTTCAAAGTTTGTTTAAATGTAGACCTGATAGGCAGTTTCCTTCATTGTGCTGTTTGACATGTTCCAAAAATTTCCATGCTGAAAATATATCTTCTCTAGTCTGACATGGGTCCTGCCAATTCCTGGCACTATATTCTTGTTCATTTTCTGTACCAGTGGTTATGTGGATCACAACCACAATCTGAAGAAAGCAATCCACATTCCCCTCCCATAAAAATATGCACATGACATTTACTAAAATTCACATATAATTTAATGAGTTGAGTTTTATAGTCCATCCCTTCCCTTCTGAAAGCCAAGTCATAGTCAGGTTGTCTTCTGTTCTTCTGGGTCTTTAGAAGAAGTACTTTAAAGGCCTATTTAGGATTTTGCCAACCTGGAGACAACATGTTAGTAGATTAACCCTCTTAAATGCTATTTTGTTAATATGTGTTAACCTGTTACCACATATTTTGGTCTGATAATTAGATGGGATCTTTAGGAAATGAGAGATACATAACTGAAAAAGTTAAAGCAGTAATAAAACTAAGCAAAGTCTACATTTGTAGATAATTCAAAGAAAATTTTGCATTTATTAGCTGGTAATTATTAAATATCAACTATATTTCAGGTGTGTATTTATGCCTGGGGCAGTAAAATAATACAGTTGCCTCTGCAGATTCAACCTATCTGAGATGGGAAATGTTCAAAACCAGCATCACATTATGATGATCCCTAGGGTGATTATTTGTGCACTTGTCACCTGCGGACCATTCTTCTTGTCATCACTCACTAATAAATATAGTATCACAACTATTGACATAGCATTTACATTGTATTAGGTATTACAAGTAATCTGGAAATGATTTAAAGCATAGCAGAGAATGTGCAATGGCTGCGTGCAAATACTACTCTATATACAGGACTTGAGCATCTGCAGAATTTGATATCCTCAGTGGTCTTGGAACCAGTCTCCCAGGGATACAACAAAAGCTGTATTTTTTGCCTTCAAGAAGATCATAGTCTTGGAGTGAGAAAGACACATCACATCATGTTTTCAAGGAAATTGAGAGAATTTTAAAGAAAGAATTGACAAAATAATAATTGTTAACACTTATTAATAACTTACTAGCCATCGGGCTATGTATTAATGTGTGAATTCATCTTGAAAACACTCTGTGAATTCTCTAATTCTATCTTTGAGGTCATATGTGATAAATACCTTCATCATCATTTTTTTTCAAAGGCAAACAGTACAATACAGGCTTGGGTTCTCTGCCAAGGTGATTCATTTGGGATGTGACAGAGGAAGGAATGCAGACCTCGAGAGTGTCATTCAGCCTCTGTCTCTCACATTGTATCCACCTCATCATCTAGATTTGCTTTCTCAAATGTTAACTGTAGTAGGGAATGAAGAATGAATAGGAGGAGAAAAAAAGGAAAGGAAAGAAAACTAGTTATAGAGTAGTGTGTGTGTGTGTGTGTGTGTGCTGAAAGCTTTTGACTTAATTGTGACAGTGTTAAAAATCATGCTAGATGTAGTTGTACTTGTGGACTAGACATAATGGGTTGTGTAGAAAGAAAAATCAAGTGTCATCTTAGGCTTCTGACTTGAATTATATTAATAAAGGTTGTGTCTGAGATAAGAAATGAAAAAAAGAACATCTTGGGGAAAAGGAGGAAATGTGTCCAACAGTTAAGACTTTTGAAATAGCAGTGCTTGTTGGATACCTAGACCATTGAACATATGGGTCTATAGCTCAAGAACGGGTTTTTGTCTAGTGCAGGAGAACTCAACTTATGGTCCACAGACCCTGAGGTCTTTGAGGTTCTTTTAGGGAATTCCCAGGTTATAATATTTAATTATAACATTTGAACACTTACTTGCTTTTTTCTTTGTTCTGATAGTTGCACTAATGCTGCAAGGCAATCAAGGTAAAGGTGCCTTGAACGATTGAAAGCAGCGACACCAAACTGTCATATTCATCCCCCTACATCATCAAAGCTTAAAAATAAGAAACTTGTTTCATTTAAGAATGTAGAAGCAACAAAATTTATTGATTTGATTAAATCTCAAACTTTGAAATTTTTAGTATTTTAATATTCTGTGTGATGAAATAAAAAAATATACGCGTAGAACATTTCTGCTTCAAATCAAAGTATTGTGGTTGTCTCAAGAATAAAACACTTATGCCCTTGCCTGAATAGCAAACAGAAGTAGCCATTTTTAATTGCAGTTTGCTTTTTCTTGAAATAACAACTGTCATGCCAAATATGTTATTCCAATGTAGGTATTTGGCAGATATTTTCCCCAAAATATATAAAATGAGTTTGTCACAATCATGCTATTTTATAGCTTCCAGATATGTAAAGACTTTTTAATGATTGGTATTAATATAGAAATTGTTTTTATGTAAGTATTATAAAATAAAAAGTGTCAAAATTTGAAAAATGAGCATAAATCAGGGAACCAGTATATTACAAATGTCCAATATAGGATGTCACAAATGTGCACATGAGTAAAAGATCCATTCAAAATGCTAGATAGAGGAATGGGTTTTAAAGTGAGATTATTTGAAAAGTTCAGTAATATGGTCTCTGATTCTACCTTGTACCTTTTCTTTTAGAAATTGCCACTTTCTGATGTTTGGTATATTGTCAATAGAGAATAAATATAGTTATCTGAGAATACTATCAGAATAAACAGCCTTTTCCCATTATATATATATATATATATATATATATATATATATATATATATATATATGACAGAATTTTCTTCTATATTTCAACAAAACAGCATATTTCAATAGAGTACAAAAGCAAACATGAGAACCTAGCTCTTTTCTATTAAACCTGACATTAAAATTACTTGCAAAAATGTAAAACAATACCACTCTTCCAACTAACTTTTTAGAAAATATAGTTAATGACAAAAGTTTTTATGTGAAAAAAATAGTAGACATGTCATTGTTCTTTTTTAAATTAATTGATTAAGAAGTTCTAGATTTAAAAAAGTAGGCTGTAAAAAAGATTTGGAAATGACTGTAGCTTCAGTTATGAGGGAGAGATAAAGCTTAGCCACTTGCCATCCACTAAGGTTTATTTTAGATAATCTTGGGATCCTTTACATAAGAGATTCAGGTCATAAATGAGTGCACACAGATCATGTGACTAAGATACACACTCAATACACACAGATACCTTTTAAGGCTTTTTTTTTTTGCTTCAGTACCTTTAATTAAAAATTCTTTAAGGAAAACTCAAACATTTTATGTATGAGATGCATTGTATCAACTATAATACTTCAACTTTGATATGTATCCAAAAATATGTTCAAGTGGGTAATATTAAAAAAGCATTTTGGAAGGAATAAAGATTTTATTATATCAATATCCTGGTAAACTTAATCATTCTTAAGCTATGTCAATTCAAACCAAGAAGTGATCTCCCCTCCCTAGCTCACTTTTTTATTTGCGCTAACGCGTACATCTTCTACTAGGAAATCCGTGTGGTAAACTGATTTTCAAAAATTTTTAGTATTGTTTACTATTTCTAAGAAACTTCACTTGATATAATTTCTAAATCTTCTATATAAATGACTTATAAATTATAATATCTCTGCCACCTTAGCAAATTTACATCATTAATTTATACCAAAATACATAAAGAACATTGAATATGGTTTTGTTTTTCTTAAATTATTATAGTAAGGAGCATTTAAAGTGTTGTTTTAGAAGCATGAGCTCCAAGGATATCAGATAACTCATTTAGATGAAGAAAAGTTATTAGAAAGGACAAGCCATTCACAATGGGAGTATGAATTCTGTGATTCCTATGTGTTAACCTTGAACAGAGGGAGGGCACCTGATTCTTTATGCCAACCCTGTATGACTAGCACTCTAATGGAAAACTACTGTGAGGTTCCATGCTCCTTAAGCAGAAGGAATGTCATCCCTGGTGATTGTGTAATTATAACATTCCTTACAAGTCATGAAATAGTATGTGCTCCCTGAGATATGCCTTTAACATCATGTAAACCATAATTACCCTGCTGAGAGTATAGCTACTTTAAGGATAAAAGCATGTATTAGTTTCTTTCTTTATACACATAAACCTAATGACATTGTAACGTGAGCACTAAATCACAGATGAATGTTTTGAATGACCACAGGTCTTAGGGTAGTATATGATGGCTGTAGGTCAGAAAAAAGATAGTCCCCAGATTAAAATCCTGTTTTCATGACCTAATTGAAAACCATTGATTGGTGCAGAGCAGCCTGACTTGTTTTACCACCAGGGCATAATAACATGTGGAATGTGAAATTATGGAAAGCCAGGCTATTGGTTAAGTAGGAAAAATAAATGAATAAAAATGGGCAAGAAAATAAGCACAATTTCTGTTTCAGTCTCTTTCCTTCCTATCAATACTCATCCCTTGCCTTGTTTTCTTTTCCAGTATGGACCAAAGATCCAATATTTCACAGAGATTCTCATTAGCATTCTCATTTTGCCTCTATTCCCTTTCTGTTGGCTAACCCTCCACACTAATTTCAAACTCATTGTGAATCTAGTCATTTTAGTTTCATGTGATTTCCAGGCTAATTAGCATTGCTGAAAACAAAACAAAAATGAAAACTACATGGCTATGTGAATAGATACCATTAAATAAAAGTTAGGGTTCTAGCCAGGTATGGTGGCTCACATCTATCTTCTGTGACTCAGGAGGCTGAGGCAGGAGGATCCCAAGTTTGAGACCAAGCTCAGCAAATTAGCAAGGCTCTAAAGACTTAGCAAGACCCTGTTTCAAAATAAAACATAAAAAAGGGACTGGGGAAGTTTCTCAGTGGTTAAACAACCCTGGGTTCAATTTCTGTACCCAAACAGAACAAAACAAGTTCCAGACTGAACTGATTTCAATACTGTTTTGTAACCTTTTTTTTCCCCCAGAGTAAATGTTTTGTTTTCCTTTATAGTTCCCCAATTTTCTTTCAGACCTCTTGTAATACAGTTACCTATTTTTAGGTTTATGTTTTTGCTGATTTATTCTCTTTCTGCTTAAAATTACCAAAAAATGCTAAAATTTTTAAGCAAATGTCACCAGAAATTAGAATTGGTACTCAATGGTCTCCATTACTTCTAATAGTACTAAAAGTTAAGTATCATCCAATTTTAAAAACTGATGAAACCTACAAAGTTCTTAATTGAAACAACCAGGGTTAAAACTAAGGATTTATGTATAAATCAAAATCAGTTCCATTACAATGCACTCTTTCTGTTTTATAACGTATAAAGTGATTTCAGTCTCCTATGTAGACAGTAGTTTACATCTTTTTAAAGAACATTTTGTTCTTGAAGGATATGAAATTTGTTCACCTTCACTAAATTTGGGTGTGCACACAATCATCTAAAGTTATAGAAATTAAAGTATCCCTTGCATTTTGAGAGATTTTTTTAAAGATTAGATCATTTTTGTTTCCTGCTTTTCAGAGGATTATCAAATAAGGGAAAGAAAACAAGTGCTCAGTAAACACTGATAGTATATTATCTAGTTTGTCAGATTATCATAACAAAATAACAGGATGCATGGATTTGGATTTAGAAAACAAAAATTTATTTTTCACAGTTCTGTATGCTACACATCTAAGATCAGGGTACCAAGGATTTTGGTTTCTCTTTAGCCTGCTCCTTGACTTAAAGACCCCCACAGTGCACCCCTGGGTATCTTTTGTATTCTTATAAGGATGCAAGTTCTGTTTGATGAGGGCCTCACTCTTAGGACATCAATTGACCATAATTATCTCTTTGAAGCCCCTTCCTTTAAACATAGTCACATTAGTGGTTAGAGCCTTAACGTATGTATTTTGGGGGAATACATGTGAGTCCACAACCAGCAGTAAATATTATCATTGTCTTCAGTAAGTTTTTTTAAATAAGTGTGATTAGAAATATGGGTGTTTAGTGTATGTGGACGTGATTATGGAATACATAATAGAGAAAATGAAATATAAACTAGAACTTGATGGACAGTTATGGATGGCTCAGGGAACAGAATATTATGATGAAAATTGAGTAAAAGTAATAAAGGTCCTTATATAGGAACTAGCAAGAAATGTATAATAAATGTGTAAAACAGACTAATAAGATGTATTAGTACAAATGGTAACAGTCTTAAAAAAATCCTCAAAGGTGACAAAAGAAGCTGCTTAGGGTTAAAAACATTCCTTTTCTTCCTTCTTTACGTATAGCAAAGACTAGTAAAAGCTAAAGGTTATGTTTTGAATATCTATACATAAATCTGAACTGAATTGATTCAAAGCTAAAATTGTCTACTGGTGATAGATAAGAAAAACAATTGCCATTTTCTCTTGCTCTGAATTTCAACTTTTCATTTGGGGACTTTAATGACTTCAATTTAAAGTTTCATTTTCCTGTATAATCTCTTCTTATCCTTTCTCTCAGTATGAATTCTGTATTTCTACCAGTTTGATATCACCAGTATCCATAATCTATAGACAACATACTTAAGTATATCCCTGGTTTTTGCTCATGAATTTATCTTACCTGAAATGCTTTCTCCAATTCCTATTCATTGATCCAAGTTTTGAAAAGGCTGCCTTAAGTTCAACTGCTGTAGAAGTCAGCCTTGCCTGAGGTTTTCAATTAGTGAAATTTCTAACTATGCACAGATTGTACTTTTTTTGCAAAGCATTTGATAAAATGCCATCTTGCAGAGATCTTTAGATGTTTCATGCAAGTATATTTCGTCTTCATAACTAGAGGCAAAGATTTCATTTGCTTCATCTTATACTGCTTAGCATTGCATTGTACATAATACAGACACACATAAAACTGCTATTTATAATAGTAGAAGCTATGTTTTGGTATAGGTCAGATATCTAAGATATCTAAGAAGAGAGAAAAAGAGAGTCACAATTGATGCTCATGGATCTTTGGAGTTAATCTTTCTCATTATGTTTTGTGAGGGATTAGTAGTTGTGTTTTTTTGTTGTTTTATTTTGTTTTTGTTTTTTTTGGTTTTTTACACATTTTGTATCCTGGGCTATGTCAGTTTCCAATGTTCAATGCTTTCCATAATGGGAAGAGATTGGGCTCTTTCTGAAGCCCGCCTTATTGATGGAAACTTCCAGAAAGATTTTATATTCTGTGCATAAATATTTTCTTCAATTTCTTGCCAAGGAAGGTGTCTCTTATCTCTTCACAACAGCACAGATTCTGGACATTACAAGTAATTAAGATAATATGTGAGAGGAAGGAAATGGTTTTATATTTGCCTTCCTGGTGGCTCTTAACCTTTTCAACACGACATGGCTTGTACTACCATTAATATAGGCCACAAAAAAGGTGACATCTTCAAACATTTTAGATACTATGAGACCTCAGGATATTTCAAGATCTTATGTATCTTCACAATGTTTACCGTGCAATTTATAAAATCCCAAATTACATCTATTTTGTATAAAAGGTAAGATGAATTTTATTTCATATTGTTTCTTTTTAATAAAGGGGATTTTTAACCATTAATTAAAAAGATAAATTTTTGAGAACTTCTCCTTTGATAATTAAAAATTCTTAATGTGGTAAGAAATCTCATCTTAAAGGTTTTTAAAGAGAATCTTAGTGTGGAAATTATGTAAGTAGTATATAGTTTTTATTTTTGGTGACAATACAGTGCATAATTTTGGTTTAGCTATGCAAAGACTGCTTATGATTGCAAGCACCAGCTCATATTCATAACAATGTAATACAGTATATTCTTACTGACCTTTAATATCTACCAAGGATCTAATAGGTTTTGCAGGGAAAGGGCAAAGAGGTACATGTCTTCATATGAAGGAATTGCAAAAGTTTATCCCTTGATTTTATAACTATTATAACCCCAAATTTCTGTGATCCCTGTTATTGATATGATTTGTCCAGGTCTATCTTTGATCTCCATCTGCATTTGCTCTATCTTCTTGCTTGTGCCATACTCTTAGCAATTTCCTCATACTTTAATCTTGGATCTTGAAACTTTGGGAAAATTATCAGATTTGAAAACTGCAGCACTTAACAGTATATATACCTAACATCTATTTAAAGATTATGTCTTTGTTTCATTATCATTTGGCTCCACTATATTCATTCTGAAAGTAGATCCGGGGTGGAAATAAATTTTTAATTAAGTATCATATTCAGATAATTTGGAATAGCAGGGATTTTTTAAACATTTGTCTGATATTGACTCCTTTTTCTGTATCCTTTCTTTATTAAGATGTGATTTGATCCTTACCTCTAATCCTTGATGCCATTATCACCTACTTTTCATTTTAACACATCAAAACTAAAATTTTAAGTGCAATACATCAATGACTGGAACACTCAAGAGAAATTCATGGCTTTCAAGAAATCGAAGTGCCTTTATATTTGTTTTATTTCATCAAAGACTTGAAATAATCAGATTTTTTTTTTGTTTTTCTAATTTGTGTTTTATCTACGAGCCTATTATTTGTAAGCAACAGGTTAGATTATTTTAAAATACTTGTTCAGGCAATTTCATGTCTTTACTTAAGTTAAATTAAGTTCATCTCAGTTCCCACCTACTCTCTATAAACACATATATGGTAGGACTTTCAATACTTGTCATTTGTTATGTTTGGCAATAGAACCCATGCATGGTTCTAACAAGTGTAATGATTACACAATCCCCAAAGCACACCCTCTGTTTTGACTGTCAAAGCAGCCTGCATTCCTGTTAGCATGCACGTTTCTATGAATCCTAAGTGTTCCAGGTCTGGTCTTAATTTCAAAACTAAGCATTGCATAGTGGCTTTTCCTTAGTCCACTCTAACCTAAAATTTCTCCATTCCAGCTCTGGAGGGGAAAAAAAAAAGTCTGCTTTCCATTTCAGTATAAGCAGAGTTCAGTCCTAAGGAACAATATCTTGTTGCATTCTGGGAGTTGGAGCAATTTCTCTTGTGTTTTTTTTTTTTTTCAGCCTAATGGTAAACAATTAGAAATAAAACATAACTTAATTTCTCTGTAGATCATCTGGCTACATTAAAGTTTCCATAAATCTGCTTCCTATGCTTAGAAAGACTATTTGTAAAAGCCATTAAGTTGAGGCTGGAATGTAGGGATTTGAAACATTCAGGGCAGGTGAGAAGAATGAGCAGTGGTACCACATGGTGAGTGATTCCCAGGCTAAGAATGTTGCTGAAAAGGAGAAGGCCAGGAAGGGGGTTTGAAAAGCAGAAAGGCAAAAGCAGAAGTGCTTAAAAACAGAGCTTTGACAATTTCACACACTGATTTGCTATAATCACCATTAATCCCTATTTGACTCATTAATGTAATGAGAGAACCTGGTTGAAAGTAAGTTCCAAGAAAGTTCTAATTCTATTTAAAGATTATAGTGCAGCTGACTGTTTAATTACTTCAAGAAGTCTAAGCTATTCCTGAACTGTCAGAACTGAATACAAGGATTTACAGCTCTCTATGAATCTATTGCCTGTTTTTGGATCCAGTAAACATCATGGTCTTGTGAGGATTTCGTAAAGATACAGGGTGTACAGCTAAAAAAATTAAAACCAAATCAATAATCTTCCATTTTATATGACTATAGAAGGTTATAATTAAAGCATTCAGCACCCCCTTCCTGGGTAGGATTAAATCTATCATTTTTTCTTGTGTGATCTTAAACATTTCTTATGAAGTTACAACTGAATTTGCAGCTGAAGAAAGTGCTGCTACAAAATCTTAAGTTTTTTTTTTTTTTTTTTTCCCTAAATTGTGATAGACCAGCACCCTTTCCATAAATGAATTTTTGGAACTTTTATAATGTCATTGTTTTTATGTAGCCCAATTCTGTTCATTTAAATGTCTTTAAAAGTTATGTTTTCTCTGGTTTAAATTCCAGACTGTGTTATTGGCATAAATCATTTTTTCTGCTTGAGGTTTTACAATCCATAGTTCTGTTCATCTTGAGGTTAACGGAAGGTCTCGAAACACATCTAATGAGAAAAGGAAGGAAAAAGTCAAAGTTTTCAAGGCCAGGAAGATGGTGATGCTATGCTAGAAGTCTGGCATTTAATTATATTTCTAAGTAAAAATATGTAAATAGAATATGAGTGCTGCAGCATGTGAATTATAATGAAAGTAGGATATCAGTTAAGAGGCAGCATGCCCTAATAGCTTGCAGGATCCTTGGGTTCTAGCTCGAGCTCTGTAGTAACTAGATCGCTGACCTTTTGAAAGTCATTTATCCTTCCTAGGCTTCAGCTTCCTCAAGGATAAAATAAAAGGTTGCTATAGATTCTGCCAAAGTTTCCTAAAAGTCTATATGTAATTCTGTGACACAGGCTGTATATTATGGCTTCCTATGAGAATCAGTTCACAGTGAAGTACATTTTCTCTTTGGAAATTACACAGTAAGATTTTAGTTGTTCTATTGAGCATTGCTATAGGTTGGACCCAGGGTGAAGAGAACCAGGAAGGTCCACACAATGCATTAATTCTGATGATATAAGGAGGGAAAACAACAGGGAAAAGGGGAGTAGAAAGGAGAGAGAGATTTACTGTTTAGGTTGAATCCAGTGTAAATCCTTGGATGTCTAAGAAACCTCACGCTACATATGCTTAAAACTAAACTTTCAGTCTTTCTGATACAAACTCTTTTAACCGCACGGTAGTTATCTCACAAGATGGATGCCTCATACTTCTGATTTCCAGGAGAAACACCTTTGAGTTATGTAATCAATGGATTTATGTTCAAAGTACTATATATATCCTGAGAGCAACCTCTTCTCTTTCGTCCCACACTGCAAAGCTGTTGTCATCTCTCACCTGTGTTATTGTGCCAGACAACTAACTAGAGTCCCTGTTCAACCCTTTCCCTGCTTCAAAATCTAGATTGATCCTGTCATAACCTAAGTTTGACCATGTATGTTATTTTGTTTTGTCTGTGCAGAGCATGTAATAGCTTCCACATTTACACAAAATAAAAGCTGAAGTCTTTACAATAGCTAGCGTGGCTTTACCTGGTGATCGCCCCTGGCACTCTGATCTGACATCTTCTTCTCTTTCTGCTCCTCTGATATGTCTCCCCAGCTGTTCTCTTATTCACACTGCCTCAGCTCACTGGCCTTTTTACTACTTCCCTTGTTCTTAGCACAAAGGAGGGACCTCTGCACTCAGCACATAGTACATACTCAGTAAATGTTTGGAAAACACATTAATTTTAGATGTTGTGTTTCTGCCACTGGGACTTGTCTTAGTTTTACAGTTTCTGTTCACATCCTAGTGTGTCTAGTTTATAAATGTCACCCTGACATCAACTTTGCACTTCATTTTGCCAAGTTCTCCCTAGGCAAACCTCACCATTTCTCTGTGTTCGTGTACCATACTGTACTAACTGTTCTCCAGAAGAAAGTCTGGCATAGTAGTTGGAGTCATTTTTTTTTTAATGCCATTAAGCTCCAGAGAAAAGCAGTGGGAAGGGGAGTTGGCCAACTCTACCTTCAACGAAAAGCTGTTTACAGACTAGGAGGCATGCCTTGTGGGTGGGGCACACTGCCACAATGAAAGGAGGAAAACAAAGATTATAAGAAACAAAATGGAGAAGTCATAAACTACATGAAGAAGATACTGGAATGTAAAATTGATATTGTAGACAAAAGTATGAAAAGAGGTATATAAAGATTCAATAGGATGGTGATGTTATAAGAAAGCCAAGGTGAAGTTCACAGCAGTTTTTTATTTCTTTTATTTTGCTTTGAAATGAAAGGAAGGGAGGGATGGAGGGAGGTAGAGAGAAAGAAAGTATGAAGGAAGGAAGAAAGGGGCTAATTCAAGTGTCCTGAGTCAAAAAGTCACTTTCAGGAGTCAGTAGGAAGATGACAAGGCTAGACAGAAGAGTCAAGATCAAGGACAGTGTCAGACAGCAGCAGCCACCTGCAGGTTTCACGCTGGTTGGGACCTGAGGGACTAGAAAGACTGAGACGCTGTGCTTGCATTGGCCAGTGCCTGTGTACCAGCTAGAACTTCTCTTCCTCTTTGTAATCCCTACTGAGAGAGGACAGAAGAGGCAGATAAGTGTTTGCATTTATTTCAGCCAGTGGTTTACTCAATGTCCTGAATAATCCTGCCAGGTCCTAATTAAGGTAAGGGCAAAGGTGCTGGGCCTGTGAGGGATGAAGGCAGAAAAGAGAAAAATACTGGGATGTCAGTTGTGCAGTTCCCTAATACTTCTTGACATGCATGGTTAAGGGTATAGAAAAGAAGCAAATAGAAAATGCACCTACAGGAAAAGATTAAATGAGATTCTTCCAAGACAAGGCATATGTTCTAAACACAATCTGTATGGATGGTATTAATGTAAATTTCTATAAGTGTGAAAAATCATGTTTAGGAAAAGAATAAAAGTGATAAAACTGAAAAGAATACAATTTGGAACTTTGTTCTAATTTGAATAAGAATAAACTATCTTTAATAGAAGTTTAAAATTAATTAATTACAAAATTCATTAAAAATATTTAGAATGACAAAGAGCTTGTCCTGAAGAGATGGACAGTGGTGCCTCTTCCCTGTAAGTGAGGGTAGACAATGCTGAGTTTGGGTAGAGATTGTTTCATGTAGCAAACAGCCTCATGTGAATTACATGGAAATATATACCTTGTCTTGGCAGATGAGGAATCCCTGGGCTGCGATAACTAAACCCAGGCAGCGTGATATAAGAATGGCTCTGTCAGGAGTCATAGGACTTTTTATTTAGATTCCAATATAATTTTAAGAGATGATGAACCTATTAAAAGCATCTGTCATTTGACTGACTTTTAGATTCATTTTTTTCATGAAATTTTTCTGCCCTGAATCCAGACTTCCAAAATTGTTTTGGCCACTTGTTATACTTCGGTTAAATTTTGCTACTAAAATTTTATAGTGAAGTTACTACAGTCAGACACAGTATTTTGATGAACCTCATGTAACTTTATGCCTTCAAGATGTTATCTTTAAAAATCTCCTTCCAATGAGCCATCATTGTGGATATAGCCCTGGGATTGGAAAGACTGCAAATCCTTATCTTTATGGAAACAGAGGCAGAATAGATTAAAAAAAAAAAGAATAAATAATGGGTTAAAGAAGGAGAAGGGATTATAGAAGGGACCCTGAGTCCCCATTGTGCCCTTAGGTGTTCAAGAGCTGAAGACAAATATGTGGGTTTGCTGGATTCCTCACTTGGCCAACTGGGTATGTGATTATGACACCTAAAGAGATTAAAAAAAAATAAGTTATATTTAAAATTTCAAAATCAGTGTCAAAAGGGTTATTATGGGTAAAGTTGTGCTTTATTTGACCCCCTTAGCTTTGGGTTATATTTAGTACTATTTTGTATGTTCACTTATAAAAGGAGTCTGTATTGAGGGTACCTCGTATTACAGAATTTTTTTTTTTCATTCCCAGGTCTGTGAAATAGTGTAAAGAAGATAGGATTTGGGTTTGGGGAGAAGCTCCCAACTATGGCAGACTCATGCAAATCCTTTTTCCTTTCAAGCATTCAGTGGAATAGTTGTTCTACAAGCCCCCCCCACCCCCACCCCTGTACCTGAGTGAACCCATGGTGGGGAAGACAACAGGGTATAGTCCTGGAAAACAGTGTGCAGTTATTTCCAAAATCTGAATCTCAGTCATTAATATGTGACCATGGTTGATTTCCAACTTTTTTTTTTAATTTTAAAGGGCAGGGGCAATGATGGGTTAAGCTGACCAAAGGGGTATGGCTTCTAACAAAGATGGAGTTGCTTTATTCCAACTTTTTTTGGTCATATTTCCTCATCTGTTAAATTGTTTAGTAGTTAACTTCCTTCTTTTCCTCCCACCTTCCTTCCTTCCTCCTTCCCTCCCTCCCTTCTCTCTTCCTCCCTCCTGCCTTCCATCTTTCCCTTATTTTTCTTCTTAGAATTCAGTGAAATAGGACACATAAAACACTGTAAACAATTAAAATTGGGTATATAACTTCAAGGTATTACTGTAACATCTAAGAAAAAATAGGTTTACTTCTGTTGAGTGCACATTATGTGCCAAGCATAGCATGTTGTGCTTATAATACATTGTCCTTCAGAGATTTAGTAAATCTTCAAGGTAGTTATTATGCCCCTGCCACAGATCAGAAACCTGGAATTGATGGAAGTAAAGAAACATGATAACAGAATTTAAGAAGAAAACTGAGGTCTGTCTCATTATTTCCTTTGACTTTAAGAGAAACAGAGTCATGAGGTAGACCAAGAGGATACCAGCCAAGCAGTGGGGGCTTCCTGCTCTGTTTAGAGACTGCATGTAATCACTACTTTTCTATTTCCCTTGGAAAAAAAAGACCACGAGGGTCTGGGTATACCTCTATGGGGACATTGAACATCATTTGGACAATTATATTTCTTTTCCCTGATAATATTTGCATCATTGTAAAGTCTCATCACTACAACCTGAGTGTTAATAATGATTATCTACTGTGTGCCGAGGATGGAGAAATGGTGTGAAACGACCTCTCAGATGATTTAATCAGACTCTTCTCTCAATAAGAACATCTATCATTAAAATTCTTTTTTTCCCTTAAGCAGAAATAAAAAGGTTTTATTTTCTTTGTACAAAACTTAAAAAAATATTCTAATTACTAAGTAACTATAGTGTTGTTTTTCAGAAGAAAGAGAGTCAGCTTGTACTGTCATTTAGTTTCAAAAATAGTGACCAATTAATTTCATAATCATTTTCAAAAGGAGCAAGTAGCCATGAGAACACAGCTGTTAATAGCTAAATTTTCTTCTTTCATTCTCCTATCAAGGTGACCAGGGAAGGGCTGCATCCATCCTGACAAATATCTGCTTTAAAGGTTTAAGTTCCTTTGGGATCTTTGTTGCCAGAGTGTAAAAAGGCCTGGGATAGTTGTTTTATTTGATACTAATTCAGTCGGGCAAGCCATAACCAAGAGTGTCACATCTAAATGTCTGGACACACTGTTCATCTTCCCTCCGTGATTGGTCTCAGACTATAGTACTATGTCAAGGTTCATTTGACCCAAAGCATTTCAGCATCAGCTTTTCCCTCTCACTGGCTCCAATGAAGGGAATTTCCAGAATGTAAAGGTCAAAGATTCCATAACTTTTTATGGTCGTAGTGTATTACTTTTCAGGTTCTTTTTGCAGATCCAGAGACAATTGTTCTCTTACTGTTAAAACTGTTAATTGCTAGTTGATAATAAGGATGATTTTTATTTTCTAATGTAAGTTTGTTGGGTTTCAAGGTATTTCTTGACAGTTGTATGTGTTTGCTTGTGTGTAAATGTGTAAACAAAACTATTACATTGAAAGGAACCAACTCACATATCCTTGTTACAGTTTTAAAAAATCTATTTAAAGTACTTCCTTGTAAATATGGAAATGACCATCTTTTTCATTCTGAAAGTAACTTTTCTCTGTCAGTGGAAATATTATTGTCAGTTAAAAATTATTTGACAGCATTTTCACTTCTAATAAATTTTTAAAGTTATTAGCCTCTCCCAAGTGCATAAGCTCCCTATGCATCCCATTAAAATTTTCAGGAACATTCATTTTTTGTTAATTCTTATTAACCATTTTCAGTTTGATTAATAATATGAAGTTGTTTCTAGGAAATCTGACTAGAAGCCAAGTTTTGTGGAAATAACATTGGTATCCATAAAGAGGTCAAAAACTGAAAAGGGGGAAAAGACTATAGAATAGACAGAGCAGGTTTTCACAGAAAGCAAAGGACAGAATTAAAGAAAGCATGGAGAAGACATGAAAACACTGTGCCTCACTTCAGACATCTCTGCTTCTTCATATTTCAGTTATGCATTGTCCTTAATAGATGATTCTTTCTGTGTCTGAGCTGTAGGTATACTTTTCACAAACAACTGGGTATTTGGGCCACCCGACTGTGTTGATGGGTTGCTGTGGTAGAGATGATGTTTAGCATTGGCTTTGTTATCTCTGATCCTCCTCCTTTGATATATGGATGTGACCTGGAGTTTGAGAGTTGACAATTAGGGGGAGTTGAGATAAATTTTTAAAATATAAAGCAGTTATGAGAAGCATGATAATTTCAAATGAATATTCCATTAGAATCAACTCAAACTATTGAAATATGTACCAATGAGCTTTGCTGTCCTAAAAAAGAAAAACTGCCAAACATGTGGCTAATTAGTTTACTTTCATATTTTACCTTGTTTTTTTTCAGCTCTATGAAGTTCAAAAGCTGTCCCACCCGTGACTTATAAGAAAAAAAAAGGTACTATTTTAATCTTCAAAAATCAACAGCTTGCAGGGGTCAATCCTTTAAAGTAGAGGCTTCACTGGTTGCAATTATTAATCAGTTTCCTTCAGGAAATATATGAAATTAAATATTAAAGTACAGATCTAAACACTTCTACAGTCTCAGGGCTTCTAAGGGCATGATTTCCTTACTGTCCTGAAATAGCTGACCTTCCTCAATCCAAATGAGACTCTGCATGAATATGAAATCCCTCATTTCGTCTCAGTACCTCATCATTTGGGCTTCATTTACGTTTTAGCACTTCATATCTCCTCTAATAGGCACAGATTCTCAGAAGTTAACCTTCCACCATGGCATAGATAACTGCTAAACAAAGGTCTTGTTTATCAGAAGGAAACTCCATGGCTTTCAGTTTGTTCACTAAGCTGACAAAATTCATTTACCAGTCTCATATACCAGGCATTCATATAATTGCTTGGAATCAATAAACGAAAGACCTTCTTTTATTAAGCCTTCATTTTAGTGATGGATAAAAGATAAAAATAAATGTATAGCATGTGCGCATTGCATAGTGTGTTAGTCCAGTGGCAAATTTTTTTAGAAAGAGAGAAAGATGTGCATAAGTGGAATCAGAAGTGGCAAGGTATATGTGGGGTTGGGGAGAATTGCAATTGAAAAAAAAAAAGATGCTATTTGCCTTGTTAATATAGTGACATTTGGACAAAGTCGTGAAGGAGGTGATTAGCCTTAGCAGCAAGCGTACCTGGAGAGAGAGCATTTCAGGCACTGGAGGAGAGAGAGCAAAGGCCCCAAAGTAGAAGTGCAAGGAAGAGAAAGTGTAGTTCACCTGGAGTAAAATGAGCTATCGTCGGGGAGCCTAAGATGAGATTAGAGAGGTTCAGGAGTGGTATGGCCTAATGCAGACCAGAGAGGGTATAATTGGCACAGACTCAGTTTGCCCTGAGATAAATGGGAAACTACTACAAAATTCTGAGTATAAAAGTGTTATCATCTGACTTATTTGGATCCCTTATACATTTAAGTACAGAGTCAACAACATTTTTAGATGGGTTAGAATTGAATTCATCAAGACAACAATTAAATGTATTGCCTATGAAAGCTACCGACACCTTAGTAAGTATATTCATAGCAAATAATAATATTAATACTAATGGTAAATAATAATATCCACAAGTGTTAATTTAGTTAATCCTCACAGCATCCTATAAGAGGTAAATTACTGTTTTCATTTTGCAGAAGAGAAATGTGAAGCCCAGGAAATCAGTTCATTGTCCAAGATAACACAGCTGAAAAGGGACAGATTTGGATTTAAATCTAGGCATTACAGAGAATGTGTTTACATAATTCTGCACCATTTGTATATTAAAACAAACACTGTATACCAAAGACCCAAATAGGAAAAGGTAACAAATCCTATTTTAGAATTAATCTTCTTTTGCTGTTTTACAAGGAAAGGATTATAGAACTGGAAAGGCTTGATAGTGCTGATGGTGATTATATTACATCAGATAGTTTAGCCTACACAGTGAAAACTACCAGTCCCTTGCCAAGGGTTTATTTCTTCATGGGTTTACAAGCCTCTCAAGAGCTATTGCAGTTCCACTTTCTTCTGTCTTCATTCTGGGGCTCAGGCCAGTGAAGCAGTCCTTATCTGGGTCATGTCTGTATCATAGTTGATGAGAAAAGGAATCTCAAACTTTCTCTTTTGTAGACAGAATTTGCATCTACCCACTCTCCATTGACCATAATATAACATGTGACCATTCCTGAGTTCAACAGAGTGATGCTAAGTATGTATGTCATGGACAGGCTCCATAGAGAGTGAAATGAAACAGTTCATGAGTAGATTCTAATCTACCACACTGTTGTTGCTTTGATTTTAATCATTTTCCAGAGGTGGAAAGGCATATAAAGAAAAAATTTAAAAGTAAAAACAACACTAAATCATTTAATGATTGCCTTAGACTCTGTAAACCAGTGCCTAGGCAGAGAACCTATGGAAGTAATTTGATTGATGCCTTTCCTATAGCTATAAGGAGGAGTAAAAGAGAGTCTTCTGGATTTTTCTCCATGAAGGAATTATAAGACAGCATAAGATCCATTTCTTTTGAAGGTAAGTGAATGTACCATACCCTTCAATGTTGGTGGGTAATCTCAATTCAGCCAGTTATTATACCTAAAATAATGCTTGACAGATAGTAATTCCAAATCACAGAATGATTGGTTGAGTGAATGGCTAACTTGAAACCAGATGAATTCTTTTAATCAATTTTTTCCTGAAAGTGAGCAATTTGTCAGTAATCCTAATAATTTGGTTTTAGCTCCTTCTGTCTCAGTCCCAAAGTCTTCATGAATGAATCAACAGAATGCACTATTCAGGTTAAATGGCTACTCCTGCATGAGACAGAAGAGAAGTCTTCTACACCTCAAAGAATGTGTTTGTTTTACTTTTTTCTCTCCTCAAAGAAGTTTGGTAGTTTTTAAAACATCTTTTTCCTAAATAGACAAAGGGCATGTATTTATTGTGTTCAACATGAGGTTTTGATATATATGTGAATATAAATACACATATGAATTGCTTCACATAGTTACTGTTTTGTGATGAGAATACTTAAAATCTGTTACATATTTCAAGGATACATTATATTGTGAGTAACTATGGTTCTTGTGTTGTACAACAGATCCCTCAAATTTATTCTTTCTAACTGAAGTTTTGCATCCTTTGATCAACTTCTCCTCTGCATCTCCTCAACATCTCCCTCAGCTCTGCCAGCCTCTGGCTACCACTATTCAACTCTTTATTTATGTAAGTTCAGCATTTTTAGATTCCACATGAGTGAAGTCATGTGTTTTTTTCCCTATGCATGGTTTGTTTCTGTTAGGATAATGTCCTCTAGTTTTATCCATGTTACTGCAGATAACAGGATTTCCTTCTTTTTATAGCTGAATAGTAAGTATTCCACTGTATATTTGTACATCATACTACTTATGCATTCATTCCTTGGTGAACACTTTGGTTGTTCCCAGTTCTTGGCTCTTAGAATAGTGCTACAGTAAACATGGAAGTCCATGTATGTCTTTGACATATCAATTTCATTTTTTTTGGCTATATAACCAGTAGTGGGACTGCTGAATCTGTGATATTGGTGTAGAAGGTGCAAACTGTGTAGCTGAAATTTTCTTGATATTTAGGATAATATTATAATATTCTTAGTGAATTTAGATCTTAGGAAAAACTTGTTTTTCTTAAAATCTTGAGTAGCCAAATTATTCACTATAATTTCTCTTTAAAACCTATGTTCCATGTGTCTCTACTTTTCTTATAGGTCTAGAATAACTTTAAATCAAATTGATCTAAAAATGGAAAAAATTAAGGACTGTTTTCATGTATAGCTGAATTCAAACTTTAATATTACTGTTGTTGTGCTATTGAGCAATGTATAAAGTTGTTTTGTTGTTGTTGTTGTTCTATTCTGATTTTTTTTCCCTTTGCAAAGTAATTTAGTACATTTAAGAAGATAGTTTTATTTTTTTATTTTTTATGTTTTTTTAATGAAGACATCTTCATAGTTTGTAGATACAGGGAATAATAACACAATTTGTAATGACTTTTAATTTTATTTTTACAACGGAAAATATGTCTTATTAAATCGTAGACCCATTATGTAGCAATTTTCCTATTTTAACAGAATGAAAATTCTAGAACTTTTGCACAGAGAGTCGAAACTATGAAAAGAAATTTGTCTTTTTGTTTTGTGATGAACTTCTTTCTTATCTGATAGGTTTCTTTTTTCATAGAGGAACAGGACTGTTAAATTTAGCTCTGTCAAATACTGTGGGATCAAAGCTCCCTGCTAAGTCCCAAAATGGAATAGCTGCCACCAGCCTTTCAACCACAAGTCTTTATGAACCTGGACTTTCTGGACCGAAGTTAGAAGTCTGTGAATTGAATTCCCTTTATAAAGTTTTACTTCAGATTTGTGCCCTCAGATTCGTTTCCCCTCAGGGATCCTTTTACTTCACTAGAATATTCTCTGGAAAATGATACCTTACAGTGACTTATGTCTGAGTCCTTTCAGAATTTTTATCTTAGTTGTCAATGTGCCAAGACTTCCTCCAGAGTCTAATTTGTTATTCAGTTCAGGATAGATATTTTTTTTTGTGTGTGTGTGTGTGTGTGTGTGTGGTGCTGGGATTGAACCCAGGGCCTATGCATGTGAGGCAAGCACTCTGTCAATGGAGCTATATCTCCAGCCCTTATTTGATTTTTTATTGTGATTATTTCTATCCTGGCATTTTTCTTATCTTGTTTTGCTTCCCTCTGATCTAGGACTGGATTTTGTACTATAGAATTAATTTACTTCCCTTTTCTTCCACAAAAAAGGCAAAAGACTACAACAACCTGCTCCCATTGCTGGTTGGAGAACAGCACCTGCACCTAGGTCTTGCTCTTTTTCTAACTGGTATTAACTGTCACAGGGCAATTGAGAATAACCGGTGAGCATTCATCTTCTCACATTCTAAAGCAGAAAAAGCTTTCACTAGAAGTGATTCATATGCAAATCTGAAAAGCTCTTTACCTCCTTCTTAGAATTGACTTAGCTTTAAATTGCTCTTCTTTTTTGAGAGTAATAATGAAATTAATTGTTCTAGAATATCAGTACTACAGTAAGGAGGGACCTTCCATACTTTTAGGACATGTCCCTAAGGTGTGTTCCCACCCACATAGGGGAAAGTGGTCATGAATATAGACACTTAAATCTCAAAATACCTAGTCTTCATAATTTCAAGATAGACCCATGGGTAAACTACTCGGAATTCATGGATGAAATTGAAATGTTTATATATTAACAAAACTTGTTTGGCTGACTTTTTCTTTAAAAATTTTCTTTTTGACACAGGAGGGTATCACATTGGAGCTTAGGAAAATACCACAGGATATTGGCTGACAAGTCCTGCTTTCTATTAAAATTCCATTTGAACTAAATAACTTCAAAATGTTTCTATCTCCACTCTACATTTTCGAAAAGATTAGAAGCCACATAACAATTAAATATAGAGAGTATCTCTCTCTTTGTCTTGCCCTATGTGAGTTTTATCTTCCAAACTGCCAACAAATTAAGCTTCTTAATACAGACTTTCATCTTAATTAAGAGACTTTCTTGACTGTTTCCCGTAGATTTTCATATAAATTTTAGAATCTTTAAAGGGTAACTTAAGTCCTTCCTCATGGGCTTTGCCTGATAACCTATATTGTGTGTTCTATATGACTACTTTCCTTTTCCCAAATTCACTTTTCCTTTTGTCATTTCTTTACCTTTACCCTCTGTGTTTCTTCGGCCCTAGTACACATCATTTCCTTCATCCAGAATCACCCTGGTAGGTTTTAATAATCACTTGAGGTGCACATCTAATACTTTTTGGATGACTTTCACTAGTCCTCACCTATTCAGCCAAACCATGAACTTATCCCAGTGTTTACAGGGCCCCTAGCCCTTTTTGAAAAAGGAACCTGGCATATGTCTACCTTGTAATCAACTCTATAAGAAGTGATCACTTGTAAAAGAGACCATTTGCCTCTTGCGCAGTGGATGCACATTGAAATCCCTAAAGTCTCTTAAACTATGGAATTTCTAATTTGTGTAGATATTACTTATTTACTGGGGAACATAAATTTTTGAAGGAATACACAAAGTGCATCCCATAAAACACTATAAAAATAACAGTTTATAAAGAAGTTATTAACTAAGTACTTCTGTCCCTGCCTCTTCTAGCCAGAATATACTTGGAAATCTAGATTCCTTTCAGTCTCCTCTGTGTAAATGCTAGGTGGCCATAATGCTTATTGCATACCTTACAAAGACTTTTTAGATCAAAGAATCATTGTTCAGTCCTATTCCTTGTCAGCTTAAATGTACCATAACAGTGGAAATATTCCTTTTCAATATGCTGCATGAATTTATATCAAGGCTTGATAAGCGAACTGTCAGAAATCCTAAATTCATCAGAGACTGCATTATTTTTATGTAGATAAAAAGATATGAGTCTCTATTCTATTACATGAGTTGTCATCATAATATTACAGTTAAAGCTAATGAACCATTCTCTGGCATTTGAAAAGCCAGTTAATGGAGCATTTTCCTGACGAAGCTCAAGTTTATAAATGAATTAAGTCTGTTTGTGTGGGTGTTGTAATGATTATGAAATTATTCCTCAATGTTATAAAATATCCCCTTTCTGCCCCCAATTAAGGCCAGCATGACCTACAAAAAGTAGCAAGTCACATTCATTTAATCAAAATTAGATATGCAGGGCTTTGAGGGGAAAATAATCCTATAAAGAATATTAGTCATCATAGCAAACTTTTCTGTCTCTCAATTGAAGAAAGCTCTTTTTTAAAGTCCCCATGACTTTTTGTCTGTATTTTGTTCTTTCTTCTTGAACTTCTACTGAATTTTAGATGAATTGCAGTCATCAGAAGAAAGGTTTCTTAGAGTGGTGGAGGATAGTCACACTCAAACACTGTGAGCCAGCTGTTATAAATTAGCAGTCCTCACAAGAATCCTTTGACAAGTTTTCAAAAACCAATTTCAGAATTTTGTTGCCTTACTATGAGAGTAAATTATTGAAAACTCTCAAATATATTCATTTACTAACATTTGATATTCCCTTACTGTTATTTTTTAAAGACCATCGTTTATATTTTATATGAAAATATTTATATGACACAAATATAAAATAATGTATAGCATGAGTATAAAGGCATGCTATATATTATTTGAAGTATAAAATATATTTAGATAGAAATACTTAGCTTTCTTTTAGAATCCCTAGACCTGAAATGACCCTCTTTGAAAGATTGAACTGAATGGTGATATTCAGTTTTATCCACTGCCTATTGACTTTTTCTATTTCGATTCATTAGCTAATTCTGCCTTTCAAAAATCTTGAAAAACTTGAAGCTCAACCAATTTTTATATCAGTTGGATGCTAAAATGTCAGTGATAAAAAATCATACACACTAAGTTTTCTAAGTTTCTACATGCTTCTTATCTCCTTTAAAGCATTCACATGACTCACTGAAATTTTTCATGTGCTCAGCTGTTTCTTACATTGTATTGGCAGAATCTGTAGTTCTGGCATTTTCTCTCAAATAGGAGAAGGACTTTTCAGTATATGTCTTCTGTTTACACAGTGTCTCTTAATGTTTTGACCGAAGCTGAAATTAGGGTATTTTTAAATTCAAATTTGATGTGTTGTTTAGTTTTGTTAGATGTGGTATTGAAGGAAGAGTTGAAATTGAAATTGAAAAAAACTGGGTTCAAATTCTGAGTCAGACATCTGGCAGCTGTGATTTGACAAGTCACATACTTCTGTGAAAGTTAATTTAGTCCTCTAAAGATGAAAGTAATAATGCTGACTTAACTTGTTTGATCCTTTTTAGAAGAATCAGGGAGATAGAGGCTATAGATGAATTTTAAAATAAAATTCTAATATATATATATATTTGAAATCTTTATTTCATAATATTATATTTTATTTTTTTCATTTAATGAAGGAAAAAGTGTATCTAGAGAAGTCAAAGAACTAGAACAAGTGTGGTGGGTACAGACAGGGTTTATACTGTGATTATTAAAACTTGATTCCTTTTCCTATTATCAGTTTTGTAAAATACATTTTATTTAACCTGTGAGTCAGTTGTAAGTTTTCAGTAATCTGTTATTAGTTTTCCAAGATAATACAAAATTTTTAAGCTTACTGATTTTGCTTGTAATTGACCTTTCTCATCTCTCTCTCTTCAGGAGAAGAGAATATGGTGTTAAGACAGAGGTTTGTGGAGTCAAGTGGACATAGGTTACCCTTGAGCCTGACACTTGGATACTTAGACTCTCTAAAGCTTCATATGTAAGAATAGGAAAACAATCTAATTATTTTACATTATTCTTTTAAATGGCAAATATTTTAATAGGCATCCATGTTCCATCGTATTCCGATGACTTTGTTCATGTCTTCCTTTCTGCCTGGAAGGCTTGTACCAGTCTCCTCACTATGACAACTGTATATATCCCCTAAATTTAATATCAGAAATATCATGCCCTCAATAACCTTATGGGACACACCATCCAGCTTATGTGTCACTCTTCTTTTGCCCACACTGTATATATAATGTGGCCCCCATTAAAGCAACTTAATTATCAATTTATTACTTTTTGTTAACTAATACTTGTTCTACTAGACTATGTCCTTTAAGAGGAAGGAGAAAGAAGCAAATAAGTGCTTATAAATAGCTATAAATCAGTGGACGTTGGAAAGTTGGAAAGACTAACATTGAAGGCAAATAAAAAAAAAATTCTTTCCTTGAAGGAAAATGGTAGACTGATTATATATATATATATATATATATATATATATATATACACATACACATACACACATATATAATTTATATTTCATATTTATGTTGTTATATTTCACATTTGTTATTTATAGCTCATATTTATAGTTATATATCATTTAAAATATGAAAATGATAAATTTAAAGGGTATATGCATTATTTTTAAATTTACCTTAAGATTACCACATGCCAGGATTAACGTTTTGAGGTATTAAAAAATGACAAATTAAAATGAAATAATAAGGGCTGGGTTGTGGCTCAGCAGTACTCACTTAGCATGTGTCGGGTTCAGGGTTCGATCCTCAGCACCGCATTAAAAAAAAAAAAGAAATAAAGGTATTGTGTCCAACTACATCTAAAACACAATATTTAAAAGAAATGAAATAATAAAAATCCAAAGTTTATATAACTTTATTTAAGTAGGTATAATTTTGACAAAGATATTTTGAATGCAAATTTTACTTTTTATTTTTTGGTGCTGGGTGTTGAACCCAGAAGCACTTAACCATTGAGCCACACTCTCAACCCTTCTTTTTAAAAATTATTATTATTTATTTTGAGTCAGGATTTCGCCAAGTTACCTAGGGCCTCAGTAAATTGCTGAGTCTGACTTTGAACTTGTGACCTTCCTGCCTTAGCCTCCAGAGTCACTGGGATTACAGTTGTGCACTGCACCTGGTTTGAATGCAGATTTTAAAACAGAATCACAAAATTTTCCGATCTCCCCTGATTAATCTCATGCCTACTGAAGTAAAAGAAAGGTTTTTTTTTTTCCTCCCATGGAATATTTTGTGGGAATTAGGAATAAATAATAGAATTCCCTTAGTGGCCACTGTATATTCCCCTGTGACATATACTATATAGCATTTTAAGTGAATACTAACTGAATAAAATAATTATAGAAATGTCTTTTGTTAACTGTACAAGACATTTGCCATAACGATTATTATTACTATAATACAGCTTTGTACAAGCAGGTTCACAAAAATGTGATTCTTTACTGAATTACCTAGCTATATAAATCTTCAGAGATAATTTCTGCTTTCAACATAACTTTAAAATTCATTGTTAAGTAACAGTTCAAAAATGCCAACATCTCAAAAATTTGGCAAGAGTAATTTGCTTTTTTGCTTAAGATTCGTACCTTCTTCTTCTTTTTTTAGAAAGAATTATATATTGGAACTATTCTAAGGACTGAGAGGGCGATAAAATCTTAGTTGTAATATTACTTTTCTCAGTAGCAAATGGCTCATGTCTTCTACTTTAATCTATACTGGAAATTTATATGCCTGTTTAAGAGAAGAACTCATTTGTAACTGAAAATACAATAAAACTGAAATAAGTGGCCAGAAAATTTTAATAGTTTTTTAAGGCAGATAGATCTCTACTCATGTCAGTTTTTTATATAAGAAATTTTAATGTGATTCTTCTCCAAGGTTAACTATTTCTTAGGCATGAAATAAAATGATTCTAACATAGCACAGGAAAGTAAGCCAGTGTGTTTTCTATGCATCATGAAAATTCTAAAGTTGATAATGTAATTAGTATGGATTTGAAAATATCACTGATAATATTTTAGTTCCTTTCATGCAGCCCTACCAGTGTAATAACATATGTCAGGGAAATAGTAATGATTATTGAACTATTATTATTATTTGATGGATTACGTCTCAGAAAAATTAGACAATGTATCATGTTAAAGATCACATTTGGTCAATTTTAGTTTCCTTGCTGCTAAACAATCTTTGAAAAAATACGAGTTAAAAGTTATTTATTTTAAACAAAATATACACAAACTTCTTCAGGTGACTGCCAGGGAAATGTCAAATTTGCCTTTTCTTTAACTCACTCTTAAAATCTCACATCTATAACTCATTTATGCTTATAGTCTGGAAAACTTTTGAAGATATTTGATTCTTAGTACACCTTTTTTAAATATAGTGAAACTGTATTTTACGAACATCTCAAGTTAGCCAGTCTATGTAAACTTCTGCCTGGTATGATTGAGGCAGGTATGTGTGATACATGGGCAGGATCAAGAAACATTTCTACACCCTTATCCAGCATCTCTCCAAATACCCTGTGTCCATGTGGTGGAGCCACAAGGTCAAGGTGGCTTCCTTCACTGACTCATCATATATGGAATAGCTACCTTGGAGTTTTGTGGATACAAAGCTTACTTAAGGTCAATGAAATATAAATTTCTCATTAATATTGATTATGATACTCTAATGATATGACACTGACTTTCAGGATTTGTTTATTAGCAGCATAACCTATTCTATCCTGAGTTATATATCTTCTTTCCTAAAGAAAATATAACTTACCTTATAAACTACAATAAATAAATACATCTAATATGTAAAAATATGAATGTATAAGAAAATAAGCTTACAGCATTTATTGTACAATTAGTTTGGTTAGGCACAGTGGCTCATGCCCGTAATCCCAGCAGCTCAGGAGGCTGAGGCAGGAGGATCACAAGTTCAAGGCCAGCCTGGGAAACTTAGTAAGAACTTGTCTCAAAATTAAATATAAAAAACAGGACTGAGGATATGGCTCAGTGGTAAAAAACAAAACAAAACAAAACACCTGGATTCAATCCCTGATGCCAAAAAAAAAAAAAGTTTGAATTTTAGATAACTTCAGATAACGTTCAGAAATACAAAAATACCGACCCCACAAAGAAGGTATAGTGATAGTCATAAATATTTTATATGGGAATACTACAGAACTCTCCAGAATTAGTTGCTAATATAATCATTAATAATACTAGAAATAGAACCAATGTGGACTACATTTTTATGACTGCCTGCATGTTATAGAATGTCACTGACTTTGTTCATTCATTTATGCCTTCCCTCTTCCCATTTATAAAGCACATGTTTGTTCTGAAGCAAATAGGGTCTCTAGGTCAGGGGTGTATGGATGATGAATTGGAGCCTGACATCTTGGGACCTCCAGTGGCTTCTGATACAGCACAAATTCCTCAGAAGTATGACTTTGGGAAATGACAAAAATAAAATGTAACACACAGCAATTGAAAGAGTTCAGTAATAGCTTTACAAATAAACTCACTAATGCATGGACAGTATTTAATAACTTCTTTCTAGATTCTTATTGTATGCAGTATTTCCTTTTTGTATGTAGCATAACATTTTACTAATATGTTATTAAACATTTTTTTTCTGTGAGGAAAATATCTAGTTATATATAGATATTGACTACAAATCATGGAACACAATCATGGCCACAATGTATGGAAAACTCTGACAAAAATGACAGATAAAAGTTCTTTCCTCACAAATGGAATCAGCTTTCTACCTAATATTCGTAAGTAGGGAGGAAGAACATAAGTAGACATATTGATCTGTTATTAAAAATTGTTTTAGATATATTTATTTCAAGAACATTGATGACTTTCTAACAGTAGTGAGTTAGTTAAATAAATTATTTTAATTTCACAAACTGGTTTCTTTAGGAGTTGTGAAAACACCAAAGAAAGATATTCCTAACAAAATATTTAAAGATATGTAAAGTTCTCAGAATAAATTGCTAAAGAATTAACAAAATATTACATATAATTTAATTCTTATTATGTAAAAGGTATTTATTGTAATTATATCCTTGCTTAAAGGAAGAATCTTAACTTTTTTGATAATAATATGATAGGCAAAAGAAAAACATGGAAAATTTATTTGTGGTTACATTCTGCCCAATATTTATTATCTTTTTAATTTGATATAATGTGAAGGATGAATGCAAGCCTTTTTCATGTTACATAGAAAAATAAAAATAAGTTAATGGGGGTACAATAGTACATAGACTTGTAATTTATAATTTTAGTTATATCTGCAAATGATTCTATTATTCTCAGAAATAAGATCTCCCAATTACTAGCCAAAACTATTGGTAAAAATTGTAAAGAAACTAAGTACACCAACATTATGAACAAATTGTTTGTATGATGTATGATAATAAGCGTTTTTTATTAGATTGAAATTTTATTTCTAAAGAATTTTTTTTATTTTGAGCATGAAAAAAATTTATATTTAAAACTGACTTATGCCACTCAGTTGGAAGAAAGAAAGCAGAGGAAACCAGTACTTTCTCATTAGGTTTAATAGACAACTATTCAGGAAATGTAAAACTCAAAATTGAAATCCATTAGTTTTTTTTTTTTTTAAATAAGTGCACAGTCAGTGGATTTACGTGATTTATTTACCTTACTTTATAGTTCTATCTAGAACAGGATGCACATGCAATCAAGTTGATCATGCTGAACAATTTTTATTTTTCCTTGAGGCATTTCCTTGAAAACTCTGAAGCTGATTATAAAGCATATTTCAGCCTCTCTCTCTCTCTCTCTCTCTCTCTCTCTCTCTCTCTCCTAATTCTAGAAAGTAAGTTAAAGTGTTTAGAATCTAAAAATATCCAATTTCATTTTACTTTACCCACATGATCTTCCCATTGCCTTAAGTCTGAATATGAAGCCAATACCCTAATTAGTCAAATATTGGTTAAAGCATAGAAGAGCAGTGTTGGTCCACTTTTTGTTGATGAAAGCACAACTTAGAGGAGAAAAAAATTCATTTGGGGCTCATGGTTTTAGAGGCTCAGTCCATGGTCCTCTGACTTCATTGCCTGGGCCCAGGATGAAGCAGAGTATCATGGTGGAAGGTCATGGAGGAGGGATCCTATGCTCACTGAAGCAGGGGAGTTGAGAGCTCCAGTGTTGGAATACAGTACCCTAGGGCATGCTCTCTGTGACTTCCAGCACTTCCTACCTGCCTTTAGTTACCATCCAGTGATTCATTCAAATTATTAATCCATCAAAAGGATTATTCTACCAATTATGTTATAGTATTCATACTATAATCATTTCACCTCTGAATATTCAATATTCCTGCATTGCCTCATGAGCTTTTGGAGGGACATTTTATATCCAAACCAAAGAAAGTGCTAGGGTGAAAATTGTATAAGTTGAGATTTCCAAGATCTGAACAAGAATATGGTAAAAGTTTTAAGCTACTAAGGAATTATGAGCCCAGGAAATCACTTTTCAGGATAATTACAATATATTTTAAATTTTTAATCTCAAAGAAACCAATAATACTTATTGTTAGAATTTAAACACAAGTTAAATAACTTAGTGATTTTTTAAATAAATGTTACTACCATGTTGCTAAGATGTCACTTTAAAATAGAACAGAACACCTGCTAGGTTATTACTCCTATTAATGCCTTACCTTTATAATTGTAAGTTTCTGGTCAGCATTAGGCAAATGCTTGCCTCAAGTATGTTTTGTAAATAATCACTTTGTATTAAGTTATAATATTGTGAATAGTTTGTATAAAGTCGTAGTGATACTTGCTAAAAAGAAAGCTCCTGAAGAACTTCTAAGGATTTTCCTTAAGTGTCATGGTCAGATTATTCTCAGCTCCTTATGGGACTCTGCCTTTCTTTTATATATATATATAATTTATTTGTTTGTTTTAATTAGTTATACATGACAGTAGAATGCACTTATATACTTTGATGTATCATACATAGATGAGCTATAATATCTCATTTTTCTGAGTATACATATTGTAGAATCACATTGGCCATATAATCACATATACACATACAGTCCATTTCATTCTACTATCTTTCTTATCCCCACATCCCCTGCCTTCCCCTCCTTTCACTTCCTGCTACCTAATCTAAGGTAACGCTATTTTTTTGCATTACAATTCTTTATATACATATATACCACAATTTTTGTATTTCTATTTGTATATGAAGTATGTTGACACCCAATTCAAGTCTTCATGTATGTACTTTGTATAATGATATCCATCACATTCCACCATCCTTGCTAATACCCTGCCCTCTCCCTTTCCCTCCCACCCCTCTTCCCTATCTAGACTCCATCTATTCCTCCCATGCTCTCCCTCCCAATCCCACTATGAGTCAACCTCCCTATATCAGAGTAAACATTCGGTATTTGTTTTTTGGGTTCGGCTGATTTCACATAGCATTATCTTCTCCAATGCCATTCATTTACCTGCAAAAGCCATGTTTTTTGTTCGTTTTTAATGCTGAGTAAATTCCATTGTGTATATATGCCACATTTTTTTTTTATCCATTCATCCACTAAAGGGCATCTAGGTTGGCTGCATAGTTTGCTATTGTGAATTGTGCTGCTATAAACATTGATGTGGCTGGGGACACTGCCTTTCTTACAACTAATCACATCAAAGCTTGCAACTCTGAACTGTGATTCACATGGTCCTAAAGAAAACATATAACTGTGTCTCATGAAGAATGTATAAGTCAGTCTACAGGTGTAAACCATGCAAACGTGTTATGGAATTAATTCTGAATTGTATCCTAGCACTCCCTTTTGAAGAAAATAATTTCCCTTTGTACTCTTGATGTGTTATTTAAACTCTCTTCCTTTCCCCTTCCCTTTTCTTTGGCCAGATTTTCTTTCAGTCTTGTTCACTCTATGTCAACCAACAGTTTCAGGCTACAAAGATTACCTTTCTACTTGTACTAACTCTTAATTTTCTTATTTTCCTTTCAGCACATTGTGGTAATTAATATTAAAACAGTTTACTTGATTAGAAGAATAAATACTCTAAAAAACCTAAAAGTTAAGCATTTTTTATAAGTTAGCAAGTAATAATTATTTAAACTTGGAAACTTAAAAGTATGAGCAGTCTCATAGCATATGCACTGAACTTAGCACTAACATGCTCTGAAACTTAGTCAAAACCTACTAAATTTGTTGACTTTTGATAACAGCAATAGGACTTTGCTAAAGCATTGGTAGGTGAACACAAATAGACTGGCAATATATTACCCCACATTTGATGTGTATATGGATATGTATGTAAATATATGTTTGCAGAAACCCACATTCACTTGTGTGTGAGAACCATGTTATCCTTTTATATTTCAACCTTGAACAAAAAATCACAGTGAAAAGCTTAATTAAAGGAACCTTTTTTTTGTCAGTATTAAATTACATTTAATTATTAAGAAGGCAAAGTTCAATTCACACTTTATCTTGTATTCTTCACCATTCAATGGTATGCTCTCTTGTATACAAGTAAGGCCATATTAGTGAGAGAAAATCTGATTAAATATCAGTCTGATTAAAATATCTGTGGTCAGCATAACAAGGGTTTTATATATTCCTAGTTAGAAATAGAAGAAAGAATATATAATTTTCAGTAACAGGTTCATTAGAACTTTTCTGAATTTATATAAATAGGAAGTAAAAGGCTTTCAAAGATGATGATATGTAAATGATGTTATAGTATGAGAGAGTACTAGGCTCATCACCCCAAACCGCACCCATCTTCCACCATGCCACTTCTTTCAGCATCACCCTAATCTCCTATGCTTAAATATATTCTTCAGTTTTAAAACGACTTTCTGTGGGACCATTGTTATCATAATACAATACATAACATTTGTTTGAAACATCATATAAATCAATGTATCTACCATTTTACTCTATCTAAATATCTTTTCCAAAGAATGTATATGATCTTTTTAGAATTTTGATTTTCCTGCCAAAAAGTATTAGACTGGATGTACGTAATAAGTTAAATGAATACTTCTCTTGTTTTGAGGACAAAATCAAAATCTAGCTCATAAGAACTGCCATTGACATTCAGCAGTCACAGCCCCATAGAAAGCCATCCCTGGCTGCTAAGAAGCATGGCAGAGAAGTGGTAATCAAGAGGACCTGTGCTTGGCCCAAACTCTGCACTTATGGAAGCAGAAGTGTTTAGGGAAAACACATAGTCATTTCCATAACTTCACAGACTTTGTTCACGCTTTCTTTTTACGATCAAAGTCATTTTTAGACAACTTTAAAAGCATAGATCCTGCCATTGTGTAATGATGAATTACTTGAAGGCAGAAAATCCTTAAGTAATTCTGTAAATCCCACATCTAGATCACTGATAGGAAGAAAAGTAGATAAACAGTAAATATTGGTATTTTAGCCAGCTGTTTCACTGCTATGACCAAAAGACCTGATGACAACAGTGTTAAGGAGGAAAAGTTTCTTTGGGCCTCATGGTTTCAGAAGTCCCAGTCCATAGATAGAAGTCTCTCCTGCTCTGGGCCAGAATCAAGGTGGGACATCACAGCAGAAGAGTCTGGTGGAAGAAAATAGCTTAGGACAGCAGACCAGGAAGCAAAGAAAGAGAGTTCCATTCAAGAAGGACAAAATCTATACCCCAATGCACACCTCCAGGGACCTACCTCTTCTATCCACACCTGATCTCCCTAAAGTTACCAGTTAATCCCTATGAGGGGATTAATGTACTGATTAGGTTAAGACTCTCATAACCCAATCAGTGATCTCTAAATGTTTTTGCATTGTCTTACACATGAGTGTTTGGAGAACACCTCATATCTAAACTGTAACAATTGGTAAATGGATGATTTTTTTTCCAACTGTAGAAACATTGAAGTCAATACCAGTCATATTTGCTCCCAATGTAAGTGAAAACTAGCAAATATATGAATACTGGAAAGGGAAAAATATAACTCCTAATTTGGCATAGGAAAAGGTCACTTAGTTTTAGTTTCCAAACTCCTAGTCGATAAGAGGCTGCCTTCAAAGCCAGTAACTTATGGAGAAAAACAAGAAACAAAGCACAAGACAGAAAACACAGTTCCAGAGGATGTGACATTTTCATTTGTAGATTCTTTAATGTTCTAGAAATAGCTGAACTGTGAAGCATGTCCCATCCAATATGACATTAAAGGTTTTTAGAAAAGGGAAATGTTCTTGATGTACATAGGTTTTTCTATCATACACCAGTATTTTCATATGATTCTCCTTTCCTTTGTAATTATAGCTCAGATGGCTTTTGCACCGGTTTCCAGTGGTTCTGCATTGAGCTATTTTCATTCCTGCACATAGTTATTTTCAGTCTCAACTGGAAATGAGTGCAGTGACCACCTGATGATACTGACTCCATTTAGTCTTCTTTGTATTCTGAGATTGAGCACACATTATTTTTGGCCTGACACTCCTTTGTATTGATCCTAAGAATTCTGTGCAAGGCTCACTTTTTCTGTCTAGCCTCAGGAGTATCAGGATGACATAGCCATTAAAATGTAGTTTTGATGGTAGGAAAGATAAATTCAGAAGCATTTGTACCTTGTTAACCTCAGGAGCCCTTGAACTCTGATATTTAACTCGGAAGAAAATGCTAGACTATTTCAGGATATAGAAATATTTCTTAAGAATAAAAATCATATTCATTTTTACATTTATTTCACATCATATTTTGAGGTTCACATTAAGTAGTCTCTTTATATGACTACAGGTGACTGGGACATCACAAGACTAATAGTCTCTTGCCAACACTTTTCCTCAGTGTTGACCACTTTTTTTGCTTCTCCATCCCACAGTGGCTCTAAAGAGCTAAGCTTTCCGTGGAAGTCAACAAATGTTTCTCTTTCTCTTCTGAGAACTACAGGAAGTATCCTTGAACAGACCCATGAAAAGGACTCAATAACAAAGAGAAAGTACAGTTCCAAATATTTCTTGGTAGTCAATCAGTGATACTTCTTAAAAAGCCCAAAGAGTTAGGATCAGGATATCCCTTTCTTCTATATTTAAGAATTCAGAAATATATATGAGATCATGTATTTCTTTTAGTTTTTATATTTTTTAATAAATTAATTTATTAATTTGTATTTTAGTTGTTTAAATTTATAATAAATTATTAATAATATTTTAGTTGTACAAATTTGTGGAGTACAGTGTGATGATTTGAAACATGTGCACAGTATATAAAGATTAGATCAGGGTAGTTCACATTTCTATCTCAAACTTTAAAAAAAAAACTTGATTAACACATAATGTTGTATATATTTATGGGGTACAGTGTGATATTTCAATACATGCATATAATAAATACTGATCAAATCAAGGTAATTAATTGTCTCTTTCTCATTCCCATGTCCTCACCATTGCTTCATGTCTGGAGTCTTTGATAAACACCACTTAAATTTGTATTCTACCAACAAATACTTAGTTCTGCAAATTTCACTGTCATAAGGACCATTGGTCATTCTTTATTACTCTTTGTTATCTTTGTATATTAAAATTATTTTCCAGAAATTTTCTTGGAGCTAAAAATATTGAGGAATTATATTCTCTTAACTTTCTCTTAAAGATCCTGAACCTTCAAAGAATGGCGATAATTAAAGGATGTTGTTTCCTCACCAAATTCACTTCCTTATTTAAATATTTCAATGATACCACTCCAACTAAATAACTTATCATCACTTGATTTATTTTTTTAGGGCATTTATCATTAACATACTATATACTTTGTTATTTTGTTTATCATCCATTCCCCGCACACCACAATGTAAGCTACTTGAAGACAGTTTTTTCTTTGTTTTTGGTTTATACTTTGCTGTACAGAAGTTTTTAATTTTTGTTGATTCTTTTTAGGTATATAAAACTTTAAGATGCATTTTGACATAATCAAAAAAGCATGGAATATAATTTGTTCTAATTAAGTCCCCAGCATTTCCCTGTTCCCCAAAGCTGTCTCTGCTCCCCTCCCTCTACAGTACTGATCTTTCTGCAATTTGTTTTTAGTTTTTTTTTTTTTTTTAAACTAATATTCTTGATTATTGCCATTCAGATTGTGGAGTGAAATGAAATCTCAGTGTCATTTTGATTTACATTTCCCTAATTTCTAGAGAAGTTGAACATTTTTTTCAAGTATTTGTATGTATCATTTGAGAAGTGTCTTTTTAATTATTTTGCCCATTTATGATTGGGTTATTTCTTCTTTTGGTGTTAAGATTTTGAATTCTTTGTATATTCTGGATGTAATGCCCTATTGGAGGAGCAGGTGGTAAACATTTTCCATTATGTGCTCTCTTTTCATGCTTTGAATTGTTTCCTTTCCTGTGAAGAAGCTTTTTAATGTGATGGCATCCCACTTACTGAATTTTGATTTTTATTCCTTGTGCTTTAGAAGTCTTGTTAAGGAAGTTGATTCCTGAGCCAACATAATACAATGATGGGCTTACATTTTCTTCTAACAGTTGCAGAGTTTCTGATCTAATTCCTAGGTCTTTGATCCACTTTGAGTTGACTTTTGTGCAGGGTGACAGATAGGGTTCAAATTTCATTCTTCTACTTATTGATTTCCAGTTTCCCCTGCAGCATTTGTTAAAAAGACTGTCTTTTCTCCAGTGTATGTTTTTGGCACCTTTGTCTAGTATCAGGTAACCGTATTTGTATGGGTTTGTCTCTGTCTTGTATTCCATTGGTCTACATGTCTGTTTTGATGCCATTACCATGCTGTTTTTGTTACTATAGCTCAAAGGGAATCCTTTGTCAGTTTTGATTATGACTGAATTCCCAGCACTTAGAACAGTCTCTGTCACATAGTAGATTCTCAATACAAATTTATTACATTAATAACTGAATGATGCTCTGAATGACTATCCATGTGATATCTATTTAAAATGTAATATTGTGAGACTTCCCAAATTATTGTCATAATATTTTGTCATAAGATGAAGTTTATGTAACTCTATTTTGCCTCTTAAAGGAAGCAAAGATGATTGCTTCTAAAAATAGTTCCAAATGGTAAAGATTATAATTGCTTGCTTTTCAAACAAATAACTTAATGAAAAGTATTTATTCTTTAATCATTTTTACATTTGAATTCCTGTATTTTTCTTACATGACATCTCATAAGCCTAATAGGGGCTTTTGCATTAACTTTTGAAGTCCCTGGTTTTCTTTATAGCTCTGCCCCTATGTGTTCTAATTATGGGAGCTATTAAGAAAACAGCATGAAATCAAAACTTATTTTGTAAATTGATTATGAAAATCAGTCTTCAAAGTATCCTTTTATGAATGACAGTGAAACTTTGATCATCAGAAGACTGAACTAAAGGGTTATCATCGTTTAACTTTTTCTTTAACAATTGAGGACTTTTGAAGTAAACAGTGATATTCATTTTTGTTTGAATTTTATTTTGGAAAAATGAACCTTGACTGAATTAATACTCTATCCCTTCTTAATCGGATGCTGATGATACTTTTATCATTCTCAAATAATTAATTGTTGTATTGAGTGGATTCTAAGTTGAATGTTTGTTGATTATCTATGGGGGAAAATGAAAGTTTCAAGAATTTAGTATGTATTTTAAATTGTTGGCAATGCAGGATGCTTTATGGGGATATGGAAGTTAACTGTCTCCCCAGAAAGTGTTCTGTATATAATTTAATAAAATCCAAGTTTTAAATTCAACTGTGTAGAGTTTTCTATAGTTAGTGAGTTGGTCTTGTTGATGGAGATGACTTCAGTAGAAGACATGTTGGCTCAACATTATCTCTAACCCTAACCCTAACCCTAACCCTAAACCTAACCCTAACCCTATCCATAGACCCCCTTGCAATGCCAACATGAGGTATTGTACCAAGTAGATACCATTTAAATATGTGCTGAATGAATGAATCTGTGCATAAATCCCTTCTTCTCAGTCAGCCAGATGTTCCAATCTGGCTAGGATAAAATAGGATGTATTAAGGATGCTAGTGGAACCTGTTAGAGACTTCAGAGAGGGAGTAAAAGAGAACTAGATCCCTAAGCCTGAGCATGGCAATTAAAAGAAATTTAGAAAAATTTAAATCTATGGGATTCAAACTAAGAGCATGAAATACTGTAGGGGATGTTCTGCAAGAGAAAACTGTCCAGATATGCCCAAAACCACAGTATTCAAGCTCCTCATATGGGCATCCATGGACACATTCTCAGGAATATGTCTGTGTTTGGGAATGAGTGATAACTTTTTGTGGAGGATCACAAATAAATATAATATAATTATGTGGATTATTGACATGAATATATGTGGTATATGTAATGATTTATATTTTATTTTTAACATATTTTATATTATAAATATATTAAATGTTACATTCATAATATTACTCATGATATTATAATATACTATCATTACATATATTGGTATATTCAGCTGCTAGATTTTACTTCCCAGTTTAGCATTTGTATGTATAAATATTTTGATGTCAGGTTATTCTTTTTCAGTACTCTAGGACTACTGAATAAAGTATAGAAGTGTGCAATACATAAATATGGTATTCAAATTAAAGAAAGGCAAAGTGACTTTAATTCACAAACAAGATTTTACATTGTTCAGTAGGGAAAGTGATGAGAGAATGATCTTCATATAGTATATTCAGCAGGCTGAGCTTGATGAATTCAAGAGGTTCATAATTTAGCTATTATTTACATTTCAAGTTGTTAAAGATTATTGCATTTTTAGCTTATATAATTAATATATACAACATGATATTTTGATATTTGTAGTGAAATTATTACTATGCTTAAACAAATTAACATATCCATCATGTCACAGATTTACCTTTTGTTTGTGTTTGTTGTGAAAGTACCTAAAATATACTATTTTAGCAAATTTCCAGAATGCATTTAATATTATTAATTCTACTCTTCATGCTGTGCATTAGCTCTTTGGGTTTGTTTATCCTTTGTAACTCAAATATAATCATTCTTTATATTAATTTATTAACTCCAAAAGTCATCCTAATTTTTATTGGTTTTACAGTTTTGTTGTATTTAAAAGGAGCATTTCAGTTGTTTTAGGTTTGTGACAATTTTAAGCAGAAGAAGTGTTTTACATAATTTTGTATTTAAATGTAGGTATATAATATAGAAACAATAAAAGCTTATGCTGAGTCATTAAAGAAATTTTTGAAAACTTCATGTAAATCCCTAGACTTCTCTGAAATTTCAATCAAGAAATGAATTTATTAGAAATTCTTTGATCATTTATGAGGAGAGAGATTTGGTTTGGATGTTTTACCCACTATGAGTGTATATTCATGGTCCTTATTGGGTAAACCGATAGTAGTCCTTATTTTCTATTAGAAATTTAAGTTTACATTAATTAAGGAGGGAGAGAAAACAAATTTTACTAATTTCTTGAATTGAATACCTTATATTTTTCTGTTTTACCTTTATATTTTTCTGTTTTATGCATATAAGATATTATACTAGTTGGTACTAATGAGAATATAAAGATGAATAAAACACACTTTCAAAAATAACATACCCCATGTCCATTTGGATCATTTGTCATGATGACTTTGATGATGATGATGACGATGACATTGATAATGATGGTGGTGGCAATTGATGCTAGTAGAGATTTCTATCTCTAATGTAGAATTTACCACATGCCAATGTTATGACTAGTGTTATATATATTTCCTGACTTAATCCTCACAGTAGTTCTGTGAGAGAAGTGTAATTATTATCTATGTTTTACAAATAAATAAATTGAATCTTGGAGAGCTGAGATAATCGAACCAGGTCACATAGATCTCACAAAATGGAACAAATTGGGTGAGATTCAGTTTAAACCTGTGCTATATATTTCCCACCAAAAGTTGAAGTTCTTTAATGTTGAATAGTAATCAGTAATATGGTCCAAAATATAGTTGTGATTTTTAGTTGTCTTTGCTTATCAATAAATAAGTATATCTTCCTTCATGATATACTTATTTATTGATAAACAAAGAAAGTGTTTTATAAGGTTCAGTAATAGAAACGTATCCTGTATGTCTTTTATCATTACCTGCTTAACACAAATCTAACATTTGTATGGGTTATAAGTAAAAATGTTGGTTTACTTTGTAATCCAAATATTTGAAGTCATACTCTATCAAAAACTTGGTCATGGCAAACAGAAGGTTTTAAAAGAAGAGGTTTAAGAACCTATTCTCTTCATCTATGAATAAAATCTTTAATTTTCTTCAAAGTTAGCCCTTCTAATAGTTTCAAAATTCACTATTTGAATATTATGAGTCATTTTGGGCTTTCCCATTTTTGTCCTCCAGACTATTTTATGTAAAGAGTTATTTATCAACCAATCCTGTACTAATGATTGCAGATTTTTTTTCCTTATTGGAGTGGTCCCATTCAGAATTGTGCCAGTGGAGCTGACATAAGCCCCCTCCTTATGTTTGTGTGATAAGCAGCTGGTTCCTGTACACAGAGCTGATTGTTTTCATCTAATGTAAGAAGTGGATTTAGAGGGCTAAAATTGACAAATGCCAATGTCATAGAATTAAGGGACACTTTATTAATCCCAAACCACTTGCCAGGCAACTTTTTTGTGTATTATAGAGTCTAGTGAGAAGAATATATATTTGAAAAAATATTATTTATCATATATACTAACACTTACTTATCATACTATGTTGTTTTCACTTTTTTCTCCAAAAGGGAACGTTTGATAAAATATGAAAAATTAAAGTTCTATTTTAGTAGTCTGAGTGTTCCTTCTTTCATTTTTTGAATTGTCCAAAAATAATAGACCTTTTGAATTAATGGGATTGAGCTCATTTCCCAATCGATGGTACTTACCGTTTGACCTTGAGAAAATGTTAATTTTTATGAGCCTTATTTTACATATTTTTGTAAGCAGGAATTTGTACACAGCTGTCATAATTGTTAAGAGAAATAAATCAGATACCAATGTGCATATTGCCTAGCACAGTACCAGGCTTATAGAGAATACCATGAATATTATTTACTTCTATCTAATTATCACTGAAAAAAATCATTCATAATTTTTACCATCAACTTTTAGATTCCTTTGAAAAGAGAATTTCTTAGTATCTTCTAGAAATACATTGACTTTTCAGTTTTCTTCAGCAGGTGATATGCATGTGAACTGTTCAAAGGTCTTACATATTTGCAATATTGTATATACTTTCTTCCCTTTTTTATATATCAGTGTATCTTGGTAAACTTTACCTTATTTAAGCACCATCAGTCCTGTGCTGATTATGCAAATGTGTGAAGATTTAAGGTGCAGAAAATCCTAACTTTGCCCCAGTGTCTATGTCACTTAAGATTTTTTTCAAGTAATGATATTTTCTCTGAAATGTGTCCAGATAATGCCATCAAGCAATGTGGTGAATAAGGCACATCAATTTCTGTTTTTAACTAATAAAACTTATTTTGAGAAGATGCTGTGCCATTCTATTATGTCTAGCAATCTAAAGACAAAATTTTCTAGTCATCCTAATCTTCAAAATGGCAAAATAATTTGAAGTAAAATATTTTGAACTACTTCTAAAAGAATGTGACTTCAAAAGAGAAAATGTGATAAATTACAACAAACTGGTAATTTATTTCTTATTTAGGGCATAAAATATAGTTTAACATATGCTTTATGATTGATCAAGTTAGGAGAAATAATCAGAAATGAATGGGACTCATAGTGACCAATTGACATTCCTTCTGTCACATAACCATTTAAACCATCTACTGAATAAGTATCCACATATATTTTAAGATTATTAATATTGCTCTTCTTGTCCTTGGCTGAATGAGGAAAGAGTTTCTTTTACTTTGCAGAAGTGATAGCTCCTTCTATGGTTGTCAGAAATGTGCAGCTCTATATCATTCCAATTAATGATACCAAGTTTAGATTATCTGTCACTGAAACTCTCTTACTTATAATAATTCCCCAAACCATCATATGTTGGATGCTTAGCTAAGAAGAAATCTATTCTGGAAAATTTTTAATTTTGCGTATCAGTGGAGGTGATAGCATTTCTGTAATATTATGGTTCTATTCTCTATTTTTCTAAAGTTGTCAATGTATGGTAAACTCTAAGAGTGTTTCATATTCTTTAGTTACATTTTTGCATTGTTCATAGTATACATATCTGTTGGACTTTTCAATAACTGTTCTAATATTTAATTTCATACTCAATCTAACTCAATGTAAGTAAATGTTAACTTGATAAGTGGTTCCAGTTCTTTGACTTTTTATTTCATTTTTAAGGTAGAAACATTAACATTGGCTTGGAGTACTGAAGTGATTTTTTTTAACAACATAGAAATTGCAGTTTTTTCTTTCTCACTACAGTCACTCAAATTTTGTGCTCTCATGTAAGTAAACTGCCTATTTTACCTGAGGCTACCTTTTATGGTCACTCAGAACTTCCAACAGAGCAAATCTCAGCAGTTCAGCCATATATTGAGGTAAATAAGTTACACAAATTCAATAGCTGAACTTCCAAATAAAGTCAGATTAATAGTTATAAATCCAGGGTCTGATATAACTACATGCTGCCAATTACTTGTTTAATGTGATACATTTAGATAGCCAACTTGGTCAATGTCAATTCAAATATTCACTCTTTGATCTAAATGTACATCCTGTATTGGTCAAATTAATCATAAGATCAATTGGTTTTCCTCTTAGCCCATACTGATTACACTGTGAGATTATCCATAGAACTTCACCAAATCAACAAGCTTTTCTTAGCTAATAGTTTTTTTTTTCTGTTTTAGTCAGATATTTTTGCAGCTGTGACTAAAAGTCCTGACCAGAACAATTATAGAGGAAAAGTTTATTTAGAGGCTCACAGTTTCAAAGGTCTCAGTCCATAGAGAGCAGGCTTCATTCCTTGGAGCTCGAGGTGAGGCAGAACATTATGGTAGAAAAGTGTGGTGGAGGGAAGTGGCTCACATGGTGATCAGAAAGTAGAAAAAGAATTTGCTTGATAAAATACAAAATATATACCACAAAGTCACACCCCCAATGCCCACGTAGTCCAGCCATACCATACCTGCCTTCAGTTATTACTCGGTAAATCCTGTCAGGGGATGAATTCACTGACTGGGTTAAGGCTTTCATAACTCAGATAATTTCTCCTCTAAACCTTCTTGCATTGTCTCACACATGAACTTTTGGGGGATACCTCACATTCAAACAATAACAATATCCTTAGTGTGAAGTAATACATTTTATGTTAAATTTCCATAACATACTGCTGACTTAGCCTGGAACAAGTCCAAGTAATTTACTCTTTTAGACTAGGTATAATAGTTGTATTTTAATTTTAATAATAACACTTTATTCCATGATCTTTTTTTTCAGTGGAATATTAGTCAACTGATTTGTATTTGTATTTTTCATTGGGTTTATATATTTAATTAGGTAGGTTATTATTGTATGAGTTTCTGTTTATATTAGAGAAAAGTGTGACTTACAGCCAACTCACTTTTTGAATAAGTGTTCAGTATTACTATAGTGTGTGTGAGTGTGTATGTGTGATTGTGTGTCCAAAGAAAATGCCTAAATTATTTTTGTATGTTTAGCAGATGTGTGCCATTGCCATAGGGGGTCACAATGGCAAAAGGAAGAACCCTCCAAGTTCATGCCTTCCACATCACAGAATATTGTGACCATATTATACAACAGCCCAGATAACAATGGATTTTTATTTGTTGTTATGTTATTGAATCTTACTAAATAATTACATGAAACTTGCTAAATGACTTTACTGTTTTATTTTATCAGTATTTAGCATGTCCCTCCAGGCTCTGGAAAGTGATCTACATTTAATTGTTTTCAGTTTTCTCTAAGTTAATCTTCCTGAGTTGTTACTGCTTATCTGATTTTCTTTCTTAGTTTATCTGTGTGTTCCTAAGAATGAAGGTTCGACATCTATGTACACATGGTAGTCTTGTCGAATAAAAAATGAACTATTACCTTAATCCTGCACTAGGATAAAGGAGACTATATAAGCCAATATGTGTGCCCATTTTAACAGCTAATATTAGCAAAACTCAAGTTCAGTTCAGAGTCTTTTCATTAAACTTTTTTATCAAAGTAGAAAACATAATTTTAATAAGATGCAAGATAAACCCCAGAGTATTACTCTCAGCCATGGAAAATAATACTGCATATTTTCAATAAATTCTCTACCTATCAATCAGTAGCTGATGCTTCCTTTATGTATTCCAATGATATATTTAAGGTCCTTTGACTACCACTAGAAAAATATAGAACAAAGTTAAAAATCCTAGCACTTGTGTTTTTTTCTTCTGTATAAGAGTTCTGCCAAAGTTATTGATTTTAAAACTCTCAACCATGGCATAATAATAAGTACTTTAATAAATGAAATGAGTACTTTCTACATTTTACTAAATTTAAAAGTATTCCTCAGTTTCTTTAAAATATGCTAATTAAAAGTTAAATCATAACTTTTGTTGACTGCTTATTTGATAATTAAGGCTGAATTCCCATAAAAAGCAGCAGGATGTATATATTCAGATAATAGATTTAATATTTCTGTTATATGAGCATAATTAAATAATCATAATGTCCTACTAATTTGTATTTATAAGGATTTCAAGTAACTACAAAATGCTCTTTCCCAGTTGCTTTCTTTTTATTTGTTTAACTTGATATGAGTAATTTTTTAATAATACAAGGTGGTTTATAGAAAAAAATACATGTAAATTTAATCCCTTAAAATATATTTTTGAATTTGGGACAATGTCACAATGGATGAAGTAAGCACCAATTTCAGTGTTTGAGGTAGCTATAATATTGCTAATTTGGTTTACAAAAGAGATATTTGTTGGCAGTAAAAGACATCAGCTAAATAATCTTAATAGCCTTTCAAATGAGCTTAGCAATTTATTAATATGCCCCCCAAAGTCCTTTTATATTTTAAGAAGGGAAAGAAAAAAAGCATTATTAACTAAATATTTGATTGATGTTTATAGAGATTATTCTGGTAGTTTCATTTAGTCCATCTTCATGGCTGCTGGTTATTCTTTGGTGATTTCTGATTGTTTTTATTTCTCTTCTAAAATCCTCAACAATCCACCCATCCATTCACCCATCCATCCAGATGCCTACCTGCCAACCAAGCAATCAACCAACCTACTGTTCTACCAATCTATCTTTAATACATGTAAGCAAACAAGCAAGCAAACATCAAAACATTCTGTGGCTAAGAAACAAACAAAAACATTCTCTGGCTCTTCACTATGAAAGATTAAGTAAAATTTCCTTAGTGTATATCCTGTTCTTTTTTGCCTATTTTTCTTTTTAAGCATCATCTCCGCTAATTCTTAGTGTCAGCCAAAACCCAGACACAAAGGATCCTTGACTCTTACCACCTTCATTTGCATCTCCTTATACTCTCTGCACTCTGCTGGATCACTAGGATACAAGTCAGTAAGTTATGACCTCAGATACAATAAAACAGATTCTTTTCTGTAAAATGGCAGCAAGAGGTTCCTGAAAGTGTTACTAGAGATGGTGTGTAGGGAAACTGATGAAGGCTTCACAGAGAACACAGTATTTGAGCTAGCACTAGTTCTATGAATAGTTTATCAAAATGCAAAAGTACACAGTGTAGAAAATGAGAAATGTGTGTTTTTTTATTTGTTTGTGTATAATGAAATAGAGGTAATAGGCTGAGAGTGGTTTGGGGCCACCTCACATGTGGAGTATGAAATGGCCTATACTTTGCTAAGCTCACTGACTAGTATAAATACGTGAGCAAAAAAATGTTTTTAAAAGAAGATAATGTAAATAAACAGTGTATAGAATGGACTGAAGTGGATGAAAAACTGGTGATAAGAGAATGATGAAGAACTGTTAAATTAGGCCACATGATAGAGGAGGCTGCATCTTAGTGGCGGCTGAAATTGAGAGAGCTAAATACTGTGCCTGATGGATGTACTAGTTGAAGGGGTGAGAGGAAAATAAAAATCTAAGTTTGCAAAGAAATGGCATTACAGGGGAAGCTCTTTCCCAGTCCATTGCAGTACTTTATTTTATCACCATCTGCTGGAACCCAAGTTCCTAAGACAAAAGGATCTCAGAGACCTGAGAGAACCAACAAATGGCCTGTGTTAAAGACAATAATTTGGAGCAATGAAAATCCATAGTTTTCTTCATAGTCTCATCTCAGGTGCATTGATAAACTTTTTAAAACACTAAGTTGGGACTGGGGATATGGCTCAGTCATAGAGAACTTATCTAGCATGTGTGTGGCTCTACGTTCGATCCCCAGCTCTGCAAAGAGTCAAAAACAACAAAAAAATGGAGCATCACCATGTATTTCATCACCAGATACTTTCAGTTATAACACCAAAGAGCTAAAGACCACTGACAGGTCTATCTGAATATCCTTCTCTTTTCACAGACTGTTTGTATTTAGTTACAGTTATCAGGAAAGTAGTTCAGGTCAGTGTGGCAGAAAACACTTGGGTTTCATGCCAGAAAGACCTGTCCTAGCATCCTGGCTCCACAGTAGTGTTATGTGGCATATGACAAAGTGCTTAACGTCTAAATTGCAATTTCTTCACACTTAACATGGTGAGGGGTAGCATTTTGCTTAAATGTGGGGATATTAAGTAATTGCCCTAGCACCTAGTAAAGTGGCTGATCAAGAGAAGGAACTCAGTCAGTGATAGAATTAATGAACAGTGCTGTTATTAACATTTTGTAAATAGAAACCTGAAGACTCATCCCACTTCTCTCTCCCAGGAAGCTTTATCAGTGAAAGCCATTCCTACCTTTTTGGAGCTCTTGCCACCCTCCTCTTACCACCTTCCTAACTTTAACTTAAATTATGATGTGTTGGGCTCTTCATCTTAGGGGACAGGCTTTATTCATCCTGGATTTCTTTCATTGCTGGCTTTTGTCATACTGTATAGTGGTTGAAGAATACTTTAAAATATTTTGAATTTAACATAATCTTTAGTATATTTAGCAGTATATATGGCTCAGTAGTAACTATTATAGCACTCATCATACCATATTATCTTCCAGCCATGGTCCTCTCTGTAGAAAGAGTCCATGATGTACCCATGGTGCTTGTGTTACATTAGAGAAAAAATATTGTTTTGAATGAATGAATGTGAGCATCTTGCATTTGAAAAAATTTGAGTTTAATTTTACTCTTTTAAAAATAAAAGAGTTAATTAGATATCCCGTCGCTGATGTAATTTTGTATAAAACTTTCAACATTTATAAATATATGTAGTGTTATAATAATTGTATTAAAATATTCTGTATTTACAAAAACCTCACTCCAATATCTGGAAATTGTTAAGAAATAATATATAGGTGGTTCAAGATTTTTTTTCAGAATGTTATTCTTTACATGATAATTTTCACACATATTTTCTCAATAGGTAATTTATCCATAGCTAATTTTATACATTAATATTTAAATAAATCTGTGGCTGTGAAACAGCAGTAACTGTTATATTATTTTAAAACATTTTATAATGCCTTGCTGAGCAATGATAAAACTAGTAGTAAGAGCATTTTGGCTGTATAAACATGGTTCTTTTGTTGTGGCATTTTGGGGGTTATGTCTGAACAGAACAACTGGTATATCAACAATTATGCAATTTATAAATGTCTGAATGCAAAAGGGTTGTACAATAAGGAGCTATACTGTGGGCTCATTGGACAAGTTTATAAAAAGCATTTTATTTTTTTTCATCATTTAGAATAAACAGCAAACAACTACTCTAATAAAGCATAGTCATGTTACCAGAGTGCACAGCTGACCAGCAGAATCACCAGAACTGAGAGGGGCAATCCTTCCATGTACTGATAGGCCCCCTTTATTTGTAAGAGCACCTATCATACTCCATTCCTGTCATCCCTTAATTTGTCTGTCTTCCCCACTGGCATGCAGTACTACACTCTTATTAAACCATCTTTATACTCTCAGAGCCTATGAAGTAACTGACACATAGAAAGCAATAAATTATTGTTTATGAAACAACTTCATGAAGTAAATAATTAATTAATTGGACAACCACTGTGTTTTCACTGATTCTCAAAATTTAATGTGCATAAAAATTACCTGCAGGGATTTTATGATGCAGATTCCTAACTCCTGCACACAGAGATGCCAATTTAGTAGGCTGTGCAGACTGGGAATGTGGATCATAACAAGAACACTAAGGTTTCTGATTCAGGAGTAAGGATTATTCTTTAAAAATATTGGTATAATATCATTAATGTGATTAAGAAATCTTCATCGAATAAAATCATTGAGAATTCATTATTCATTGATTATAGATCAAGAGGGTCAAAGTGAGTGAGGACTAGCAGTACTGTGAGAAAGTGACTGTCAGACGACATGCTGATCAAAATTTGGGCTCTACCTTTTCAGATTCTGTTCCTGAGGTCAGTACAAGTAGGTAAGTAGAAGGTAAGGTAAGAAAAAATTTGGCAGTGTGGTCAGATTACAGGAAAGTCTAAGGATACTGATATAGATTGGTATTTTAACTGGGCTGCATTTGAAGCTAAACTAATAGAAAAGCAGGGAGCAAAACTTCAGGACAGATGACAGGACTGCATTGCAAGAGAGACCATACAAGTGTATTGACACCAGGAAATGGCCTGAGTGAGACTTCTGACCCCAGATGGACCCATACATCCTTAGTTCCTCTTTCAAGTTTACTTCTTCATGTTAGCAAATGGAATGTAGCAAGGTAGGTACAAGTTCCCAGAGCTTGATATGCTTCTTTGGTACTGATCATTGTGGAAGGTTTTATCTAGAACATTTTATCTAGAGCTTTCTAGAGCATTTATACTTTCAGATTTAGCACAGAATCTCTAAAAAGTTTGTACAGATTCTTGGACTCTAAGCTGCACCTCCAGGAAGCACACAATGAACTTTGATACCTGTAAGCTCAGTGGGCCAAAAGTGGAGGCTGTGTCTTGGGAAATCCTTCTTAGATATTTTATTAATGAATGTTCTATTATATTTACAAGGAGTCATCCCCTTTCCCCACAAGTTTAGCCACACATTGCTGACTCTTATACATAACTCTCCTCATCTGCTGTCTTCATAGTCTCTAAAATCACTTGCTGTAGACTTGCTTTCATAAAGATTCGAAAACACTAACCAATGTAGCAAATTTTCTCCATCTATTTTCCATCAATTTTGACTTTAAAGACTTATTTTTCTCTACTTTTGTTCCCTCTGCACAATTTATATCCTACATTCAGATTGCGTGTCATAGTGTCATATATACCTCACCCAACATTTGAAGCAGCCCGCAAAGGCAGAACAGCAGCTAGCCTAAATTTTTTTTTTCAAAAATTAGGGTATAGTATCTCCATGTGTTGAAATAAGTGACCCAGGTTATTATTAATCCAAGGATATGGGAAGAAGGTGACAGAAAAGAGAAAGATGAGGGAAAAATGGAATATGGGTTCAGAATGCAGCAGATGCCTAAGACATTTTACATCCTGACTTCTTAAGCAAGATTCTACTCCTTTGCAATTCATTTATAGAATAGTTATGGCTTCCCATTGGCTCACTGCTCCCATTTACTCAGCTACTGTAAATAATAGCCATCAGCAAAGCTTTTGAAATTTTCAGATGAAAGGAACTAAATTAAGAAAGCTTCCCAGGTGTATCCCTTTCCTACAAAAAGGATGCTGAGTAGAACTAGAAATCCAGGAACAGTGAACACAACATGGTCATTGTAACATAATGCATTCCAGCTTTTGAGAGCCATAAATGTCTACTTTTTATGTACTGAGAGTTTTTTTAATAAATATTTTTTTCAATTGCAGCAGAATACAGTGGATTTTATCTTAAATTGTGGGAGATATTAGAGAAGGCAATATCAATCAGTTACAGTATGTGGATTAATGCCACAGGAGTTTCTTTCTTTGGTTATTGTAAAGTTGTTTGCTATTTTAAAGCTATTAGTCACATGCAAGTGTACCTGAGAGTAAAATTTTTCATTACCATCCAAAGATGATTCATTATGTTGCTTTCAGAAGAAACTTTGAAAATAAATTCCTGTGTATTTTTTTTATGTTCTCAAGGACTTAAAATGTACCTGCGCTTTTAAAAATTTCATATAGATTATATTTTATGTATAAAAATAATTTTATATAAATATATACACTTATGTAATCTACATTTTCAAAAAGATTATTATCAAAAAAACTAGAAATAGAACTGCCATATGATTCAGCAGTCCCACTACTGGGTATATATCCAAAGAAAATGAAATCAGTATGTCAAAGAGATATCTGCACTCATATGTTGTTTGCCGCAATAGTCACAACAGCCAAGATGTGGAATCAGTCTAGGTATCTATCCACGAATGAATGGATAAAGAAAATGTGTGATAAATAGATTGGACCAAATGCACTTGCACTATAAAGTGTTATGATCTTTACAATGGGCCTTGTAAACCTCTTTATCTTATTACTGTCAAATGATGGAACCAGTACTCATTTTTCTTTGCCAAGGGTGTTTAATTGGACTAGTATTATAAGTAAAATTGGGAAGCATAACTTGAAACATAGAGTATACTATACTTATGTAACAGTGGATTTGAATTTTTAGAAAATTGTCATAGAGCTCTATGGTATTTAATATTATTTATTATGTTTAATAATGTCAATACTCTTCACTTGAGAATGCAGTAAACAAAAAACAAGGTTGCCTATTAAGATCAAGTAACTATTAGGCATTGTGAGGAATAAAAGAATGTTAATGTGTTCAGAGTCTTCCAGGACCTCAAAATGCATTTAACCAGACCTGGGATGTATGATTAAAATAATTGCTAAGCCAAACAGCCTTCATTTGTAACAATGCATATGTCACACACCTCTTTTTTAAAAATATTACTTGGTTGACATTATTTATATAATTTAATAGTTCCTGTTCTGAAGCTTTAACTTGATGATTAAACTCATGAATTTTTGTACATTGGAGATTTCTTTGCTTTTTTAAATATATTTCTTTTCTGTATTGACCTTAGTTTTCTGGATAGAGGAAAATTCTTTTAAGTGCTGAAAGTTTTCATTCTGTTCCTAATCATCATTTTATTATTTTAGTATGTAAACCATTTAAAAATGCACCATTTATTTCCTCGACTTGTTTAAAAGAGAAAGTTTTGTAGGTTTTTATCTATTCAGAGCCATCATTCTGTGCAGTGGTATTTGTGATATTTTCAAAATGAAATGTACAATAGATATGGTAGAAATGTTTTGGTTTCTTAGGGGAAAAATGCATTATCAATCTACTTCTTTGTTGTTTTTCCATTTTCTCCTAAATATTGTTATGAAGCAGTTAAATGATTTTTATGCCCATTTTGCTGAATTTCTACTATATTAATAAAACATATCAAAGGCTTAGGTTTTTATTTTGTAGAAAACTATGATTGATATCATTGAGCCCAAGTTTGTCAGTCTCTTTGAAATGTCATCTCTGGTTTCCTCCTCACCAGGAGGAATCACCTACAACACAGTCATATTCACCCACTCTTCTACAGCACTTGCTCTGATTTTGTTCCCAGTGTAGGAAGGAAGAATATTTTTTATCTTTTGGGGAGTTTTTGACACAAATAATTGCATTCTTAGAGCCAGGGAACTAGCTATTAATTAAATTAATAGCTATTTCCTGACTCAGTATTCTCCTGTGATTCCTTAATTCTTACAATTTTATTTGTTGTTACATTCTCAAAGGTGTATTATGTTCAGAAGAATCTTCTACACAACTCTCGAAACTTGTCTAAAACATTGAGGTTTTGCCTACTAATTTTTTTTCTTGTACTTTTTTATTTTTTGCTTTTAGATATACATGATGCTAACCCATAACAAGAGAGGATAGGGAAGGGAAGTGTAGACGTTCATTGCTTACTATTTTTGTTCAAATGTCTAATGTAATTATTCCCTTTCAAATGTCAAAGCTCAATTCTATGACTAATGTAGCTTAATAAACTGTATTTAGATATTTGTGAAATGCTCTTTCAGTGAGTGTGGTTGGCAGAATAATGCACCCCTTCAAGAGGTCTGTATTCCTAGGATCTATGCATATATTATATTAACATGCTGACCTGAAGGGGATAGTATGAACTATCTCCTTGGGCCCAATATAATCAAAGGTTCTCACACAGTGTCTTAGTTTTGGCTTCTGTAACAAATTCTATTGCCCCAGGTGGCTTAGACAACAAAGTTTTATCTGGTGTGGAGGTACATGCCTGTAATCCCTGTGATTTGGCAGGCTGATTGTACATTCAAGGCTAGCCTCAGCAAGACTGAGGAGCACCCCTGGGTTTAATCTTCAACACCCACCCACACACACACTGTGTGGGGGGAAATATATACAGAAGTTTTGTTTTGTTTTGTTTTGTTTTTTTGTTTTTTTTTTTTTTTAAAGAAGATGAAAGGAACAAGAAGAAAACGTTTATTTCCCACACTTCTGGTTACTGGGAAATTTGGATCACGTTTCCAGCAGATCCATTATCTGGCTTACTAGTTTGCAGATGTCCTACTTTTTATTGTTTCCTAATATGGTAGAAATAACAAAGCTAACACTGACCCTTCATATAAAGGCAATAATCACATTTACAAAGGCTCCACCCTTATCACTGACTTACCTTCCAAGGGCCCCACCTCCAAATGTCATCATATTAGAGAATTAGATTTCAACAAACGACTTTTGGGAGTGACACATTCTTTCAGTTCATTACACATATGGGAAAGGGAGGCAGATGGGTGAGGACCAGAGAGATGTTGTCTTGAGACTCAACTCATCATTGTTCGTCTTAATGATGGGTAGGGGCCAAGAAATGTGGGCATCTCTTGAAACTCGAATGTCAAAGAAAACAGTTTCTTCACTAGAGCCCCAGAAAGGAATGTAACTTAATGAAACCTATTTTGAATTTCTGAACTATAAGATGAAAATTTGGGTTGTTTTAAAGCACTCAATTTCTAGCAACTTGTTAACAGAAGTAATAGGAAACTAATAGCATTGAAGTTAAATATGGGAGGATTCTGATATTTCCTGGAGAGTCAAACAGGATTGCTGAATTTGGGTGTGTGAAAGAATGCCTCTGTGAAACTTGGCATCATTGAGAACCTTTGGACAATATAGTTAACCCTTTCTGAGGCTCAATGCAGAGACAGGGTGGATAAAATATTACTCCACTGTTTCCTTTAAAATTTGATATTGCATAGATCTATTCTTTTATTTCATTTTACATCAATTTTTTTACATGTTTATTGGGTATCAGGTTAGAAGAATTCATTACCTTAGCTAACTGGATAACACTGATAACCCTTACTCCAGTTCTAGCAACCAACAATGTTTCTAGTTATTGGCAAATGTTCCCAGGGGCAAAATCACTTCTGGATGAGAACCACCAGAATACAGCACTGTGGCACTTAACTGTTTTCTGCAACAAGATCCATTTTACAGTTACTTTTGGTAGGTGGGCACTGTCTTAACAACACCTGTCAAAGTATTTCTAGGTAGAAACACAGATTCCCTCAGGTATAGCTCAAGTTTTAAATTCTATTTTTTAGATATCACACAGCACTGTAATACACTCTGGATTGTGTCTTCCTTGCATCCTCTCTTCTCCTGAACCACCAGTTAAACCTCCTTGATTATATATTCTGCCCTGACAGATTTTATCCATTGGCTTCTGGTGGCATCTTCACAGATGGGCTGGGCATGATGGATACCCATAGCTTTCTTATCCTGTTAGTCTATAGTTCATCCCACTCCATGAGTCCCTCAAATCTAGCAGATGTATTTATTATTAAAAATTTTTAAATCTATCATCATTCTCGTTTTCATATATAATACATACCACCAACAACAACCATATTTGAGTCCTGGGTCCCCAACAATAATCTACTTACAAAACCAAATTGAGAGACTTTAAGTAGAAAAGCAATGTGAAACAAAACAAAAATGAAATGTGAATTGTTTCAGATAATCAAGGTTTGTTTTAGCATGACCTTGAGATTGAATGCACGGATGGGGGAAGTAGTCAGGCTCTTAGGGATGCTGTGCATCTTCATCAGCGCTTCTGCAGTTCCATGGTCTTAACTTTCTGCAAATGGTTTTCTCTTACCTAATGTCCACGTAGTAATATAACTGAGTCAAAGCTCCCAACAGTTCACAAGTTTTCTCTTTTAGAGACTAGCCAAAACTTAACTACAATATCTTAATTTCAGTTCCTAGTTCCTAACAGAGAAAATTGTGACCATGGGCATATGGAGGACATTTTTCTTGCTTCCAGCTAGGAAGATCTGAGGTGACAGCCACAGATTCATTCAAAAAATTTACATAAATCAACCAACAAAGAATACTATTCTCCATTTTATTCAAATATGACTTATAATTAGAAGGAATTTCATGCCCACAATTTTAATTGCATGAAAGCAATATAAAATAAGACAATATCATTTTGGGGGAGGAAATATACACATACACATATACACATACACACATACACATACATACATATATGTATATATATATATATATATATATATATATATAATACATCAACTCTTTATAATTTATTATTGTGTTTATTTTTATCTTTATTTTATTTATTTATTTTCATATTTTCATGTGGTGCTAAGGATCAAACCCAGACAACCCCAGGCCTATATCTCAACATTTATACATCCAATTTTATTTATCAAAGAGAAATTTGAAAGCAGTCTTACCTAGATATAATGAGAGTTTTTGTTCAGTGAAATACACACTTAATTTTTCTTTTGCAAATAAAACATTTAAAAAGCAAACCAAAATTAACAAGATTTTTAAAAAGAATCAATCAGATATTTTTGCACAACATTGAAACTGCAGTTAAAAATTGACTTCTTCCAGAATTTTTTAAAAAAAGATAACAGTCTTTGTGTAAAAATAGAAAGATGATTTGTTTTTCTGTGAATCATGTTTGTTCAGACTTTACTTGTAAATTAAAATTTTAGCAGGGAGTGTACATGAAATTTCACTGTATTAAGACAAGAAAGTATAGAGTTGGACTTTCTGTTTTCTTAAAGATATTCTGTTTTGTTTTCTGACAAGTTCACTGACAGAGCTTCAAAGGTAACTTCACAGCATCTGCATTTACTGTCATCCAGGAAGGAGTCAGTCCTAAATTTACTAAAAATGACACGATCAACATGGCATAGTAATGAACCTTGGCGAGGATTTAAGACATTATATGGTACCAGACCCTCTCATTAGTGCCTTGGGTTTTATTTGTGCATGCTATTTTTCTAACATTTGCAGCATAAGTGGTAGAATACAACATATACTGAATATCTCAGCATTTGTGACATCTCTTAATGTCACATTTCTTTATTTTTTCTTAAAACCTGTTTATAGCTTGCTGGATTTTCTAAACATAAAGATAAGGAAATAGCACAAAGTAGGGGAACTATGGAAAATCTATAGATTTTTTGAGAAACAACAAAAAATATCTGTCAATATATTCTACTTATCTCCTGTCAGTCCTGATATCCTGGAAAGGCATCAGTCTACCCAGGCAACAGCCTGGGATTCAGACTAAGGTTCTAGACCCAGCTCTGCCAGCAATAACCTGTTACTCTTAATGTATCTTAGATTCATTTTTGACATGTGTGCTAGAGGATAAGACTTCTAGGATTCCTCTGTGTTAACACGGACTTATTTCAGGGTCCTCTTGTAACCTTTGCCTCTTTCTTCCTTTTCTTTCATAAATATTGATGGAGCAAATAACAAATACCAGGCATAGTTATGGATAAAACCAGGTACTTTATTCTATATAAGTAAAGATGTAATATTACTATATATAACTAGATCCTTTCACCCCAGATTTACATTGGACTATACAGAAAATCCCTTTTGGAAAGAATTTAACAAAGTCTGAATACTGTTTATTTGTAGCTAATAGTGTCAAGGAGAAAAACTGCTATATTTCTGATTCAAATACCTCCTTCATTTACATTTCATGAATTATCTTGAGGAAGCAAAGAATCTATATTTTTCAAAAGGACCAGAAATAATATCCATGATAGCTTTAGTAGTTTAAAGGCCAATGCGAGTAATAAAGTTTGCATTAAAGAGAGTCCAGTACATCATTCATTACTTCCCATTTTAAAGTTAACATTTCCCATGTACTACTTCCAGACAACTTTACAAAGCCTGTTACTGCTGATATGTGACATAGTGAATCCCATTTGAGTTCTTAATGTCTCCTCCTGACATTTCCTCAAGAGTAACTGATAGCTCGGCTAGTCCAGGGGTACTGAACAGTGCAGGTTGATCCTGTTGCAACTCATGTTTAAAAACATTGAAGAGTGTTGGAAAGCACATCTTAGGGGGAAAAATGGAATCCTTTGCTGATGGCTTGTCTAAAGTACAGCATAATATTTACATGAAATCAGGGAAAAATCATTTCCATGTATATTTGCAGAAATATTTCAAGTAA